AACAACAAAACAAGTGCTAACTATTCAAGTTGTAGTTAGACTGTTGTTACACTCTGTTGTTGGTGATTAGATTTGATCTTGAAGCTTGGTGGAGATGTGTACTGCATATAAGTAGAGAGTAGTATCTCGGGTATTTGTTTTTCGACTTTACAGCCACCGAATAATAGAAATCACCATCATACACCACAGAGAGAAAGAAGTTGTCATACACAAGAGCCAACAACACGACTCTAGACCCCATTCTACATTGCATTTCAGTCTTTACTCTGTCAACTAGGAGATATCCTTACTCGTCATCGTCAGAGAAATAAGAAACCAAAAAAAAAAAAAAAAGAAAACTGCCACAGTCTACTCTTTCATCACATCTGCAAACATGCGTCAGCCTGAATATCAACGACTTTCTACAGATGGGTCCTCGTTCCACGACGATAGACTCCCTTCAAACCCACCAGACTATTCTGAATCGAGTTATGGACAGAGATATAACCAGGACTACCCACATGAATCATCATCGTCATCATCATCCACTTCGATACCCATGGAGCAGTTTGAAATAGAGGACCCGTCACTGCACGAAACCAGTGGTTTACTTAACCGAGCACAAGCTTTTTCCAAGAAATTTGCCACCAACGTCAATATACGCATAATACGGCCTGTAAGCAGAATGATTGATCCGATATACGAAGGCTACAAGTTCTTGAGTATTCAGTATGAGAGACTGATTTTGAAAGTGGGGAACCCGTTGGTGGTGAAAAGACTCTTGTACGTTTTCGTAATGATGCTCTTGATATTTGGGATATCCAAGTATAGTGCAAACACATCAATCACTAGTTCCAATATGGGAGCGTTTTCCACTGGGAAATTTTATGACATTGATAAACTAGCTGATTCAGCTCGACATTTTATCGACCCAAAGTCAATGAAGGAAAATCTTGAATATTTTTCATCCATTCCTCACATCACAGGTTCAATGGGTGATTTAGCATTTGCAAGGTATATTGAAAAATACATGAAGAATAATGGTCTACATAATGTCTACCTCAATGAATTTCAATCGTTTACAAATTACCCAAATGCTGATGGTACGTTTTTAAAACTTGCTGATGGGTCTTTTGAAGCAAAACTTAACGAAAAACATAGCAAGGAAATGCAATTTCTTGCCTACAATCCAAACTCATTGAACACAATTGAGACTGTTGAAGGAACATATGTATACGTGAATTACGGCCGGCCCGAAGATTTCAAGCAACTACAAGATAAGGGAATAGACGTAAATGGAAAAATATTATTGATGAAGTATGGAGGTAACTTACCTGAGGGGAACAAAGTTTATTTCGCTGAAAAAAATGGAGCCAAAGCTGTTGTTTTCGTTACATCTAAATTCACCTTAGCCGACAACGTCGAGGTCGATGATGTCATACAAAGAGAGAATGTGGGGTTGACTAGAATGTCTCCGGGGGATATTCTAACACCTGGTTGGTCATCGGAAGGTGGATTTGTTACGAGACTTTCATGGGATAAGTCTGAAACTACACCAAGGGTACCCACCATTCCAATTTCGTGGAGGGATGGTGAGACCTTGATCAAAAAATTGAATGGGGGTTGCTCGTTTGATGATTTTGCAAGTGGAGACGGCACCTCAGCCGTTTTACAATTGAAAGTATCTAACACCAATCGTCCTGTTCATCCATTTTGGAACGTTGTTGGGTCCATAGAAGGGAGGGAGCAAGCTGAAAAGGGAATTATTGTGGGCTCGGTGCGAGACTCTGCATGCTATGGAACTATGGGTAGTAATACAGGGACAGTTGGATTTTTAGAATTGGTAAAGATTCTCACATCATTACAGAGAAAGTATCAGTGGGTACCTTCAAGATCCATTTATTTTGTGTCTTTTGATGCCACTGAGTACAATTTGGCCGGAGCTACAGAGTGGATCGAAAACAGAAAAGAGTCATTGAGAAAGGAAGGGTTTTTGTATATTGATATGAGTGATTTGGTGAGTGGAAATGAGCTTCAAATCAAAGCACACCCCTTCTTGAGGGAAAGTTTGCAACGTGCTTTATCTAAAGTGAATCTTGAAGAAGGGGGCAAAACTTTGCAGAATCTATTCTCGGAGGAGCAAAAGCAGTCTATTGGGAATGATTTCTTGGAAGAAAAAAACTATGTTCCATTCATAAATTTGGTCAACATTCCTTCGGTTGAGGTCAAATTCAAAGGCAAAAAATACCCCGAGGGATCGTGTTATGATACTTTTGAAAATTTTGAAAATTGGGATATTGATAAATCAATGGCTAAGCATACCCAGCTAGTTGAACTTTTATCAAGAGTGATTATCGATTTCGCTGAGAGTCCATTTATCCCCTACAACTTTATGCAATTGTCCAAGCTGTTACTGGATGATGTACAAGATCTACAAAGGTTTGGTGACTTTTTATCCAAAGACTCGAATGTTAAACCCAATTTGCACTACAACAACTTGCTCCGGGCAGTGGATACTTTGAAAAGAGCCAGTCTTAAATTCACTAGTTGGCATACCGATTGGAAGTCGGTGATTGCAGCTAGCAGAGGTTCAGAACCACCAATTTTGGCTATGGAACGATGGGCCTGGAATGACAATATGGTGCGGTTCAATGAAGAATTTGTAGGACGTGATCCACAACCAAAAAGGTCGGGCTATGTGAATGAATTGTTTGGAGTTCCGTTTATGGCACCAGAGTCGGGTCGTGATTTCCAATGGAATACCTTCCCAAATATACGATCAGAGATGATGGATCAAAATTTCAGCCGAGCTCAAGATCATATAAATCGATTGGCTCAAATAATTGAACAAGCAGCTGAAGATTTCCTCAGATTAGGATAATGAGGAGAACAAGGAATAATTTTCTATATTAATGGCATCTAGATTTATAACCATATGGCTGTCGCCTCATTCCTCTTGTATTAGTTTTAGTAAATCTTCCAAGTAATAATCTCTACAATTCAACTCACGAACTGCGTGAGTCAATTTAATCAAGTACTCACTGTTCTTCCCACTTGGACCAACATTCGACTTGATTATGCTAGCTGTTTGTTCAATAGGTTCGGGACCAATAAAACTATCCAAGTCCAACCCGCCAATATAAATCAGACTGTGAATGAAATCACCAAACTCATCATTTTGTCGATCTGCTTCGGGTACACCACTTCCCTCCACTCTAGCTCCTCTACCATCATCACAACCACCACCTTCCTCTGCTTTGATATAAAATTTGACTGACCTCAACTCGTACCCATTCTGTTCACGTATATCCAAGTACTCCTTCACCTCATCGACATGTTCAGCATCAATATAGTACGCGCATCCCCAGACTTTCAAATCCTGCGGTTTCAAATCATCAATCAGGTGATCAATGTCAACAATATCACCATTTTTGAGTTCATATGTGTGTAAATCGCTATGGAAAAACCGCTTCTGATCCCGCAACTCGTCTAACGAGATTAGTGTGACTACGCGGCCTGGAGATGCTGGCGTGCCGCGATGATCTATTGAACTTTGCCAGAAACGGCGGATGTAACCTTGCAAGTATCCCGTGATCTTGAGTGAGACGTGTGGAGGAGGTTTGAATATGAGGGATCCGTATCCTATTACCCACATTCCATTTTGCGGTTGTGGTTTGGTCATGATGTATGTGTTTGTCTTGTTGGGCGTTTAGTGTGGTTGAGAGTGGGAACTGTGGTTGTGAAAGAAAAAAAAGGGCTCGAAAGGAAGAGAGAGCTGCCATTGGGTTTTATTCGGTTCTTTACACCCGAGAAATTACGACAATCAAAAGGTCTTCAGAAACTACTTGATATCCATGTACATGCCTACTTTATACATAGGTAAACTTGAAAGCCATTTTCACAGTTTCAACAATCTTGTCTCTTATATTTGCATTTCTCAAATACCTTCCAGACCCAAGGAATAAAACAATTAGCACCACTAATACCACAGAATTCCGAGCAAGAAAAGACCCAGTGATGTTTAGAATATACGACAATCGCTGCTTCAAAGCCTGGACTTGTTGTTGACGACTCAAACTGCGACCTTGAGAAGTGCTTGGTGCCGACCTACTCTCCTCCTTGCTGTAATTATTTATAATCTCCTTAATTGAGCTGTACTTTAAACTCAGTTCCTTTGCAGTTTTCCTAGCATCAGCCTCGACTTTAACCTTGGCCTCCTTTGCTGCTTTTTCAGCTTGGAGTTGTTCCTGTTTCAATCTATTCTTAAATTCCTCTTTACCATCCTTGATGTCGTGCAACCTTTGCAACTCACTTTCATCATCACCAATCAACCGTTCACTTTCATCATAGAGCTCAAACTGGGGTAGGATCTCAAATTTCACCAAATCAAGCAATTTTCCACCAAATTTATCATCGGTGTCGATATTAATATACCATTTCTTCAAATTGTGCAAATACAGCTCTTTGTCGAGAATCAAGTCTTGATTAGTTGCATATACAAGCTGGATATTGTACTTAATTTCATACGGAATATCAGCCTCAAGCCAAACTGATTTGATTTGGTTCAAGATTTCATTACTAGTGAAGGAATTACGAGCAGCGTTGGCTTGTACATTATCAAGGCTCTTGCTCTTGAGACACACTCCAACGACAACGAGGTACAAGTTGATGATTTTGATAAGTAAGTCCTCTGAGATTGTCCCCTGTTTGTAATCGTTGAATGCTGAATAGTAGACTTGATGTATCAATTTGAATGATCCGATAAAGTTCTTGTTGATGAATTGTTTCAACGCTAGTTTGTAGTTGTGTTCGGTTGTTTTGTTTGAGTTGAACGTGGAGACCAGCGAGATTGCTGGTGTTGGGAGTGAATTTGACACTGCAGGCATAGTTTGACGAAGCAACACTAATGGAGCAGTTCTGGGTGTAAAGTGCAAAGTCTCTTTCTTTCTTTCTTTCTTTCTTTCCCTCTCTCCCTTCCCCACCCCACAATCTGTTGAAGAATAATTTTTTTTTTTCTTTCTCCCTCCCTCGGCTTTAACAAAGGGTACGCAATACGATATAAATATATATAGACCGATTTACATAGACATTTATATACACAAATTTGCCCTTTGAAGAGAGCTCTATAACTATTCCTCGTCGTTTTTATCGCGATTCTTATTTGGCAATTTGCCCAATGCTTGCAATCTTCTTTGCTTCTCGACTTCCGTCTCCTCATCCTCATCCTCATCTTCATCTTCATCTTCATCTTCCACATCATCGTCAGAAGTGCCTTCTTCCTCGTCATCGTAATATTCTTCCTCTTCTATAGGGTCATGTGCCTGAGACCTTTGTGGTGGGGGCGGCGATGCTTTCCTCACTGCCGAGTGATGACCCTTGGCATGTTTAGTTTCCAAGATGGACGCAATTTTGTCCTCAATCTTATCAAGTTTGGCACTATCTGGATGAGGATCACGCTCGGTTTGAGGTATGAGAATGTTATGGTGAACTCCCTTTTCCAAATCAGTTACATGTACTTTGGGTACTTCTGCAATTGGGTCAGTTTGCGACGACGACGGGTGATTTGTTGCACCTGTTTGTGATGTAGCAATGTCATTTGGTTTCATACCGACAAATGATTTCATCTTTCCCACCAATGTTGACGATCTAGATCTGTTTGGCGTTGGATTTGGTACTGTAGAAGCATGGCGGTTAACCTTGTATCTTCTTATGATGTCACCATCCTCATTTTCAATGGTTATGATATTATCAATACGATGGGCATAAACCTTTTTCCTATTGGGGTCATCTTTTCTATAGTAGGAGCGTCGAGAAGCAGAGCGAGATAGTCTCTTGCGTAATGGCGACAATCTTCCACCTGTATCTTCTGCACTACCCGATTCTGATTCGTCGCTTTTCATGGTTGATGCATTTGAATACTGAGACATATGTCTTTGCAAAGATTCCATAGAGTGTATACTTTCATCCTCCTTTCCTTCTTCTGCTTCATCATCCGCATCAGCATCCGTGGGTGGCTGCTTGTTACTACTTTGCAGTTTTCTCCGCTTCTCAGCTGCCTCTTTTCTTCTACCCAAGGTAAGGTTGTCCATAACTTCTCCAAATTGATCTTCAATGATGATTCTGTCACCTTCTTGATACGCAGATGTCGGAACGGGAGTTTCCGGCTTGCTGCGCTCGCCATATTCCAGCTTACCTGAAGTTTTCTCATGAGGATCGAGTAATTGCTCACCTTCAGCGGAGGAAGATGAGTTTTTAACTTCTGCAGTAACCTCGGGCTCTGAAGAAGAGGTACTTTTTGTTGGCGTATGCTGAGCTTTTTCTTCGTCTGCAGTAGCTGCAGGAGCAGTATTAGCATGAGCACCACCACCACCAGTGTGACCACCCAACTGTAGAACCTCCTGGTGTGGTTTGTGTCTTGGCGCGTGCCCATTTTCGTCATCTCCACTTGTAACTCTTGACAATGTTTTCTGAATAAGTCCTTGCCTTTGGTGTCTCCTCTTTTTCTTTCTCCTTTTGGCCCCTCCTGCTGGACGGACTTTGATACCACTCGTCTCAGGTAGTTGACTTTGATCGTGTTGCACTTCGCCTTCTTCTTGCAGTTCCTTTTCGTCCGGTGCCATAGTGTCAACTCTATGCAAAGAATATGACGAGTTGGTCCTATCAAGCTTTTGCAATCTCTGGATCCAGTTTGGACCACTACCAGATTCACCGGTTGTGGCAGTAAATGACATTGTAATGGCCATTCTGTTCAACCTCTTACCCAATGTCAAAACTGCAACAGAAGAACCATGCACAATGATGGATGTAACCACAATAAAACACACTAGTGGCCAAATTGTAACTAGTAATTGATCGTGTGGGAATCCGCGTCCTGGAACCTCACTTAAAGGAGTTTCCTCGGTTGTATAATGACTTTCAAGATCTCCTCTTGCCAATATGCTTGCAAATATAGCTCCAACACCAATGGGCCCAAAATGGCCACAAAAAAATGCTTCTCTCCATGTTTTGATATCAGGCGTAAATGGTTTCAAACATACAACTGCGGGTAATCTTCTTAAAAAGATAATGACCAACGCCAAAATAATCAATCTCCAAACATTCAATCCAATTGAAGCATCATTGAACTGCGGCCATGGGATAATTGCACCAAAATAAACAAAAAACGACAAGTTCAAAAGTAAATCAATAACAGTCGATACATGAGATTCTTCGGTCTTTTTAGCAAATGCACCATTCCAACCAAAAGTGGTGCCTGCGGCAAACGACACTAACAAATCGTCAACTCCCAACATGGATCCTATTCCAGCTGAGTTGAAAGCAATAAATATAAAGATTGCCAAAAATGATTCTCGATCAATCAAGTTCTTGGTTTCCGCAAACTCAACAATCTTTCTCAAAACGTATCCTATAACAATTCCCAACACGATTCCAAATACACATTCCCACAAAATAGTCAACAAGATCCAATCCTTGACAATTTCTCCAGCGTGTCCTGAATGTACAATCAAATTAAGTGACAAATAAATAAAAGGGAAGGCCATTCCATCGTTACAGCCAGACTCGGCAGATAACAAGTTACGCAAATGACCAGGAACTCTTTCCGCGAACTTACCTTTACCGACAACAGCAGCAGCCAAGACTGGATCAGTTGCAGTAACACAGGCACTTACCAATAAGCCATCATTAAAAGTAAAATGAGGAATTAAAGCCCAAATGAACAAGCCAACAACTAGCCAGCCCACGGTCATAACCGGTAGTAAAAGAATGGCTACTGATAGCCAATGTTTTTTCATGTATTTTCGTGGCAACTCAACGGAAACGGCAACAATCTGTATGCACAAAACTATTCGACATATTTCCAATGTGATCAAGTCTGCATTACCCCATGTAGTGGGTGCAAACCAGTTTAGACAATGCGGCCCAAGTATGAGACCAGCAATGGTAGCAACTGTAGCTTCACCAATGTATAATCGTTCCTTAACAAATAAGGACACTAGTGAAAATAGGGTCGAGAATATACCAACACACGCATATGCAATGTGAGGTGTCGTCACTTCTAGTTGCGACCACACCATAGCTTAGTAGTATCCTGGATAAACTTTTGTGTATAGTAATACCTCAGCCGTTTTTAGATGTGATGAGGGCGTATTTATTTTCTTGTCATTCAAAAGAAAATAGCCAAAATAATGTCGTGTAAAGCGGAAAATAAATGTAGAACAGACGCAAATACCTTCTCCTAGAGCCTATCTCGTTCCTTCTATTGGTCTTGAATGAAAGTATCGGCTAGTGAGTTTGTATCTGTAGAGGCCGGTTGTTTGATTGTTTGTTTTGCTAAAGATACGGGAGGATATGATTTGAATTTATTTTCTGTTTTTGTTATGCTACGCACGTGATTACAACAATTTGTGTATAGTAGTAATTCCTGTATATTGGGCACACACTTCCATAAAATAGTCTGACTGATCGTCATTGATGCAATAGATCCATCCAGAACTAAGCAAAGTGGGAAAGTGCAAACCTAGTTGAAGAGAGCGAAAGAGAGAACTTTATTCGAAAGTGAGTTTCACCATCTGAAAATCGGTTTTTTCGAATGTTTTCTTTGCTCTTCTCTAAGTAGTTATAGAACAAACGGTTGCAAAAATCTGCACACCAAACCAAATACCTTCAGCAGAATACTCTTGTTCAGTATATATAAAGCCCTGACTGACTGCTACGTTAATGTTGTCCTCCCCAGACCTCCCTCCTTCCCCCCCCCCCAACCACGTCTAAAACTTGCCTTTCCTACTCCTTTTTGGCTCTCTTCTGATTGGACGCCAGAAATGCCCTCATTCATTGTAAATCTGAAACAATTTCTTGGCAAAAGTTGCATGGTAGCAGCAAAAACGCTCACTACCCAAGGTTATCATTTATCCTTCTGTTGCCGTTTTCCACCAAAAGGAACTCTTACCCTAGAGTAGATTAGAGTGAAAGCATCCACGCCTCTCATTCTGTGGGGCTTTGACGAAGAATCGTACAAGTCTAGTATCTCCCTACTACACTAGGAAAAACTATTTGTGTTGAAAAAAAAAATTGTAATAAAAGTTGGGAAATATCTTTGCTGAGCATTCAAGTACCCATAGATGTCATTTTAGCGTGATAGATTGAGCAATCTCAGTAAATACAGCTCCTGTCTCCTCGCTTGTTCCTATCCTGCAACCCGTTCTCATAAAATTTAAATCTCAAAAGTTACTCTTTGTAATATATCAGTCACATGATAAGCACATGACTGAGTTTGTCGCTTCCAATTTCTGCGCGAAGACACTCAATGGTGCTGAGTGGAATACCACCTTGTTGCTCTTTCCACCATTCCATAAATGTCCCTCTTTGTCGACTCATCTCAGGAGAATGGAGGCGATGATACAGCTCTACCCTCACAACATACAGATCCTCAGCTGTCTCCTCAACGTCGTAATTTGAGCACATGGAAACCCAAACCAGAAGCCCATTTCAGTGCATCAACAAATCAAATTGGTCATCTTTCAGACGTGTTTCAGAGTCTAATAGCCGTCAACAGTCAGGCTATTATAACAATACGGTCTGGTGGGATCACTATATACTCGACTTATAACTACACCATCAATGTGCATGTCAATATTGACCCTGCATTATTTAGCCTGTACGAGTTGACAACAGCCACATCCATAGATCAGCACAGTCTTTCCGACAAGGAGGGTGCAGAAGAGGAGGAGCTAGGGCTACGACTAGGAGTGGACATCAATCTTATTGCCAATTGCTTTACTTCGGTTTTAAATACCATGAAATCCGAAAAATCAATATCGTGTACCATCACATACAAGGGAGACGGGCATTCGTTAGTTATCGAGTTTGATGACACTTTGATTACCGAGAGATTAGATTTCTACACTTTTTACATAGACGAGGAGGAGTTGTTAGAAAATGAGCAACTACAAGGAGGTCCTGGTTCAAGAATCAATTACGAAAACGTCATTTTAGAAATTATGCTCAAGAGTGATGTCTTGACAAACTTGTTACAAGACTTGTACCAAATAGACACAGAAATCTTGTTTATTTATTCTGCTGAAGGAGTATTGAATTTCATAAGTAAAGGAGCCATTGGTATGTCGAAGCTAATGTTTCCTAATGAAAAGTCAGTAATGGAGAAGTTACATATTGATCAATCTCATCTACATATCATATCCCAGTTTAGATTCGCCGAATTTTACAAAATATTCAGAGCGGTCAAATTAAGTTCCAAGTGCAAGTTTATAAAAGATGCCGATGGTTGTTTCTCAATACAGTTGATTTGCAAGAATCATCAGCAAAGTGGATATCCAGGGACGCTATTGACTATTAATATGACTGAATTGGACCATGACGAGCATCTAATTGAATGGATTTTGCAGGATGAAATGGATCAGATTGATAATAACAAAGAGCAAAGCCTACCAGACATTCTACCTTTGACAAATATACCTAGATTAGATCGCCATGAACCATTTATAAATACCTTTAAAAGGACAAGTCAAACAGTACACAACAACAACAACAACAACAACTATGAAACAAGAAATGGAAGCAAGAGAAGTCGTCAAGAAACTGGGTCCAAGAGAAAGGGACAATCAAATAACGTACCTTTATTTTTGTAAATACACATAATAAGGACCTCGATACACTTCCTCTGTTTTCCTCAATAAACGGCAATGTAGTTTTCAATTCTACTCTTTTGGTTTTGAGCAATACATTCGGCAATCCAAGTAATATTTCTAACCTCTTGTTCTTTAGATTTCAACCAAGCATAAACAGTACTCAACGTGAACTGTTGAGTGAATGCATTTCTACAGTATTGCAACTCCAACAAGTAAAATGCATCACCAATGCTTCCATTACCATCGCCACTGCCATCATTAAAGAGATCTTTGAAATCACCTATATTTTCCACAACCAACTTCAATTGCTCATAATCATCCGTTTGAGCCAACTCCAAGTGATAAGTAGGATACAACTGTCCCAACTGTGGGAACAAACTCAACTTATCCTCAATTGACAATTGTGAGTTATTGATCGAGTTCAAAGCAATATTAATCACTCGTTTGTCCGCTTCCAAAGTCAACAATCTAGTCATGATTTCTTTATCGGGTCCATCAAATTCACGTTGTACAAATGCCATGAATGCTTCCAAATAATTCTTGTACAATTTATTTCTAATGATTTCGATATTCAAATCATCCAAATCATCAGCTGAAACACAGTTTTTGAAAAAAGGTGCTAACGGAGTATCAATCAATACTGTTGAATACAAACTTTCAATATCAGTAGCAATACTCAATGTGGGTAAAGTATCAAACCATCCCAACGGGTTACATTTCTTCAAAATGTCTGACTTGTCTCTTTCATGAAGGGTACCAGTGATCATCAATATGACATTGTCAATCATGTATGCGTATTGAATGTAGTCCACAAATCTCGTCAATTTCCCGCTGGATTGACTTTTGATGTATTGATATTGTTGGTAAATTTTCTTGTTCAAGTTCTCTTGAATTACAGATGTAGTCAAAGGACCTGAGTAATTGGCCAAGAAGTTACCATAATCGGTTGATGAAAGTTGTAGTTTGAGATCTTCCAAGTTGTCACATTGAGTTAAGTTGACATACTGGTTTGCTGTGAGAAGACCACTCCTGTATCCCCTTACTACTGCTTCGACATAACCGTAATCAATATTGAAAAATATCCCTTCCATTGTAGCTTCCTATGTTTAGGGGTACTAGTAGATGAGCGAGGTTAAAGGTCTTCCTAGGGAGTTGCTGTACTAATTGATGATGTTGTGGTTGAGGAATTGTCGAGGTAGAAATTATTGGTCGTGTATAGTTGATCAGAGAAAATGAACAACTATCGTAGAACACTAGCAAGAAATGTACAACATCGTCAACAAGCCAACCTAATTGCAAAAGCAAGGATGTCGCTGATATTACTAGACTCATTGAAAGATGACTTGGACGACGTGCACAGAAACACATTAGAGAAGACTGATACTGAGCTATACAAATCATCACAGAAATTTCTTGAAGATCTACTAATCAATGACGAATTACTATCAACGGACCAGTTCACCACTACTACAACTACAACACCAAGCAGCAACAACAAACCTCATGCTAAGAACGTTACTCAAGAGATTGCAGAATTGGACCTACAGCAACATCAGATCAACAAGCAATTGAGTTCTTTGACAGACTCACACAAGGACTTGATCATCGATGTCAATCACGACTTGAATGAAATCAACAACAGCTTGACTAATGATTACCAAAAAGCTGTATCTGCATTAAAGAGAAACATATCTTTTGACTCAAAGTTGCACGTTCTGGATCACCACTACAAGTCGAACCAAAACTCGATCTTGTCCAATATCGATACAGTTTTGGACATTTTGGAACTCCCCACCCTATGTCGACTTTGTATCTTACAAGGTAATTACCAAGAAAGCTTGGAAATATCCATTCTCATCAAATCACTAATCATTCGGTTCCCCAAACTATCCATTTTCAAAATCGTTCTGGACCAAATCGAATTGGAGTTGCAACACATGTTGAAAGGTTTAATCAAATTACTAAATACAAATTTAAAGCAAAACCACATTCTCAAGATTTTCCAAATTTTAAACAAGTTGGAAACTGTTGACAACAATTCCTTGCATCGGGTTTACTTAAATTCAAGATTCAAATTCATCATCAATGAAATTGCAAGTCTAACACCAATTCTCAAGTTTAACAAATTGACATATTTGAAACGGTATGTTGAAGTTTATCGTGAACACATCTACGCTTCAATTCATGTTTACTATACAATTTTCCAAAACGAAGTTGATAAATTGTTGTTGAACCAATTCATAACAACACTAGCTATGAACTTATGTCGTGAGTTTACATTATACTTGCCTCATATTGTACCGCCACGCTTCACTGGCTCCACTGACCCCACTGGCCCCACCTCTTCAACAACTCACGAGTCAATTGAATCTGAAATAGAGTTGAAAAACGCGATTGATGGGTTGATTTTGCAATTGATTTACTTATGTAAATCGTTGTCAAGCTATCAGTTTGAATTTGAACCGATAATCCTATCTGAATTGTGTTACAAGCACAGCCTTATTCAGGAAAACGACTGGATTCGTAATTTGAGCAAGATCAAAAAACATAAATAGACACTCCATCCCTGTTGCAATCTATATACAGTCAATACAGTCAATACAATCAATACTCATGAAGGAGAATGTTCCTTTCTACGCAATCTGCGCTTGAGGTTGTCTATCAACCAATCCATTCAAACCAAACAAGAAACCAAGTTCTCTTCTTCCTAAACGTGAAATCGACTTCAACTCTCTCTCATTCAATGCATCACCAATCAACTCCCTTTTGCTCTCTTGAAGTTCCATGATACGACTCTCAACAGTGTTTGAAACCAAGATACGATGTACATAAACTTCACGCTCTTGTCCAATACGATGGGCTCGGTCCATTGCTTGGTCTTCAACAAATGGATTCCAAAATGGATCCATTAAAATGACATGATTGGCACAAGTCAAAGTTAATCCAACGTTTCCTGCACGTAATGAAATGAGCAAGACATCAGCCTCATTTTGGTAAAATTGCTTGATTACGGTGTTCTTGTTCTCAATCGACATGGATCCATCGTATCTTAGATACGGGATTCTCTGATAATCAAGTACCAATTTCATCAAATCAAATAACGTGACAAATTGAGAAAAAACGATAATTTTTTGACCCGGGTTGGACTCCTGAATATCGCTAATCAACTCAATTGCCTTTTCGATTTTGGCCGATGGTTCAAATCCTTGATCTCTAGTAGTCAATTCCCGAATTATGGCAACATTCGACATGCTATTGCTTCCCTGCCTGTCCTTGTAATATCCTTCAACATTGGCAATAGTGTTCCCAGCTATATGTAATCTTTCAAACATATTATACTCAAAAGTATTGGCATGTTTCACAGTGGTATTACAGTCGATGCAAGTTGCGACCCGACCCAGTGAATCGGCAGTGTCAACAGCACGCTCATCAAAAAACGTTTCGAGACAAGACAAGCAAACCAAATGGCCACATTCTCCCAATACCGCAAAATTGCTCAACTCTTCCACATCATAACAGAAAGAACAAGTCAGTTCACTACTTGAGAGAGATTGTACGTTCTCCTTGATGCGGGAAATCGTTCCCTCATTCAATCCAACAACGTTTCGCAATTGTTTCCTCCAATCAAGTTTCACAGTAGCGCCATCAAGTTGCTCCTTTCTATCCGCTTTTATATGCCCAATTTCAACAAGATATTGGTGACAGCAGGCTTGTCTCAATCTCAACAAAAGGGTAAACATACATCCATGGTCCTTGTCCGAAGCGAGCATTTGCTGCGCTTGTCGTTGAATTCCAGCTTCAACATCCTTGTAATATTTCAATTCTTCACTTTCCAATTCTACGTAATCAGCAACCACATGCTTGGTGGGTAAGTTTAAAATTGGTTGCCCATCGATTTTCGATGTCTTTGTTCGTCTTAATAATATTGAACTCAACATTGCTCGTAATTTCCTCATTGAATGAGATCGATCAACATTATCATAATCCTCTGATCTGGATTTCAATGGGATGACAAGAGCTCTAAATTTGTCTTCAATATAGTATGGCCGAAGTTTCAAGAAACGAACAATTGGGTACAATTCCTCGATTTTATTTTGCATGGGGGTTCCTGTTAAACAAAACCGATATTCTGATTTCAAGTACAACACAGCCTTTGATGCAATTGCTAATTTGTTTTTGATGTTTTGCGCTTCATCCAATATGACACGAAAAAACAATGCATTTGAGGAAAAGAAGGGAGAGTCATAGCTAGTACCACCCGAATCAGGTTTCGGCAAGTATCCTCGTCCTGCTTCAGCATTCTCTGCTAAGTCTTTTGCAAAATGGCGTTTCCACTCAGACGCCAAAGTTCCATATGATACCAAGACAATATCGTATTTCCTCAACGTCAGAGCAGTGGACATGACTTTCCGGTATTCACCATGATAGATACCCACTCGCAAATTACAGGATGGTTGTGTCTTTGATTGCACTTCAGCAGCCCACTGTCGGAGTAAAGAAACGGGAGCAACAATCACCGTTGTCTTTCTTTCTGCATCGGCAGATTTGTTTGCAAGTATTAGGGCCAACGCCTGCACCGTTTTACCCAACCCCATATCGTCAGCTAAAATGCCTCCTTTGGTTTTGGATTCCTCCATTCGTTTCATCCACGCGAGCCCCATACTTTGATGTTTCAACAACTTGATTGTCATTTCCGGTGGAGTGGGCTCCATACCCTCTTCCAATCTCTCATCTGACACAATATTATCTAGTAAATCCTGAACATCGTCATCTTGCCCGCCAGAGCTGGTGTCCTGAGCTCGTGTATCTCTAAAAATTTCTGCTTCATACGGGTTAAAAGCCGCATTCACCTGATGATTCGCTGTTCGTAACATGTTGGTGATGCTTGCCAAGCTGTGCCGCACTAACTGCATACTTGATTCAACAGGCTCGAGCGAGCGTTGGTATGCATTGATATTATTACGTGCAGTATTCATTGCTCTTTGAATTTTGAGTATGGCCACCCTTATTTTTTCCACAAGGGCATGTCTGCCCAACCGGTTTGCTTGACTTAGTTGTGAACTCATATTGGACATTCGTGCATTTTCCACTTCATATTGTTGTTGCTGCCGCTGTATTTGAGATGAGATGGTTCGCTTAATTTGTTCCAATTTCCCAAACTCTCGTAACTTTGCTTCTTCTCTTTGCTTTAGCTCATCGCGTGACACCTGTTCAAGGTTGTCGCCTACGTGGGGAACTGGAGCTGGCATGTTGTATGCACCTGGAATCGAGCTGTAGCTTGTATTTTGATGTGGCTGAAATAAAGAGCCAATGGCTTGTGGATTGTTGCGAGTTTGATAGGTGTTGTTTTGTGCATTAGCAAATGCGCCGCCCATAGCAAGTTGATTTTGAAGCGCAAGCTGTTGATTGTTGACATTGTTAGGCGCTACTTGCAGTTGATTTTGAGGTTTGAAAGTGGTAACCAGAAGATGGGCATTGTTCACACTACCATTTGTGTTGTTGAGAGATCCCTGCGGATATTTTTGTGGAGTTGGGCCGTTCAGTTGAAGACCTGGATCGTTCTTTAGCTTATGACTACCATTAAGGTTCAAGTTAGTAGGCGTCGCTGATGCTGGACTTGGCTTAGGAGTATCGCTCGCCACTTTTTTCTCAGATAGGATAATGATCTCATCGTCACTATCATCATTTTCGAAAGTGAAACTCTTTTCCAGTTTAAATGCACCTTCATTTTTGATGGAGTGGGCAGGCTCAATTTTGGTCTCAGTGAGAGCACGATCTTTTGTATCCACCGTGGGTTCATCCTCATCGTCAGAGGATATTTCAATCACCTCGATTTTCCGTTCTCCTGTGCTATTGTTTCCAGTTGCAAACCCATTTTGGAGTGGATCTTTGTGACTATTCCCATTCTGTCGTTCCAATTTGGGTTGTATTGTAAAGGTATTTAGTGAATCAAGCCTTTGCCTTTTAGCAGGATTAGTAGATCGATACTCCATTTGTGTTGCCATTAGACGTGTAGTGATAGGGGGTTGGCGGGGGGGAGGGAAGCACTAGTAAATTATTGTATGAAACTTGATATGATATTTTGAATTGTGCTTAGTGGTTAGTGAGCACGACTTAATAAGTGGGTTATCAAGCAAGTTACTCTGCAACCAGTATATTCTTCCTTTGATGCCTTCTAATCAAATGGCTCAGATTTGTTGTTACTATTTTTACTTTTTTTTTTTTATTTTCACTTTGTGAGCGTTCCTTACATACGATACACGCAATCACTGATAAGTATCACGACCACACCAAGACTACACTTTTGTTACAAAGTAAATTATCGATCTTGAACTAAAAGGTATTCTATGAACCTACAAGACCATACCTACTGGGCTAGCTCGCTCGCTTTTCATCCCACAATCTACAAGTAGTCACCATTTTCCTCCAATATCTTATCCAAACAGATGGTTAATTCATGTTGCAACCTTGGATGATTCTCATCAAACGCCAACCCTCTTTGATAATCAGCTCTGGCCAACTCATAGTTACCCAAGAAATAGTTGGCAACACCTCGCCTTAAAAAATTATCTGGTGCATTCATTTGCATGTTCAATAGTAAATCGACATCATTATAAGCCTGCAAGTACTGCTTTGTCTTCAAATAAGCATCACATCTACTCATTAAAAACTTTGACAATTCTTGTATGGTACCAGCAAAAGACTCCAACTTGGGTCTCCTCTGAATCATTTCAATACCCACTGAAAACTGACGTACACTATCTTCAAATTTACCCACCTTGAAAGATTGAACTCCACTATCGTATAGTTTTTTGATCATTTTCGATAAATCTTTGTTAAAGTTATCAGGCGTGGGAACAGGGGGTACGTCACTACCCTGATTTATTAGTTCTTGAGTGATAACATTGAGCTGATCTAATTCGAGTTTTAATGCAGGAGCTGATTGAGCAATTTCCGGGTCTAGTAAGAGCTTCTTACTCTTAGAGTCATATGACACGCCGTCCATTGTGATAACTGTGGGTTAGGTAGTGGAGTTTAATGGCTTGTTTCTTTTTGCTTGAAAAACAACCTGGTCAGTTCTTTGAAAAAAACTGGAAGAATTTGAACACCGCAAAAATTTAGACTGTGCTTTTGTTTTTATTTGCACGACCTAGTGGGTGCAAATTGAATACCCACGACGTCCAACTTCAAATTTCTCATCAAAAGAGGTCACGTCCTCGGCTGTAAAACACAGCTGAGGGTTTAAAGTCTAGTGAAAACAACTATGCTATACTTCTTTGGAGGTATTTGTTTGACGCTCCTTGACATACATTAACATACCTGTTGAGAGTGGAACTGAGTTGAAGTTTACAAAGTCCCCACAAAGTACACGCACCTGCTCCAGAAGCTCCCCTTTTTCCAACCCTATAAACCCTTTGGCGTTGCTAGTGACTGAACTCGAGAAATGTCTGTTTGTTTGCTATATGCGACAAAATTTAATTTGCAGTAACTTTGATAATTTTTCCTCTCTGCCATCTTTTTTGTTATCAGGAGGATTGTTTCGCCCCCGAGTCCCCCTGCCCCCGCCCCTTATGACTTCACTATCTCCAATTGGTGCTACAGGTGTAAAAAGCAGATTCTACTCCTACCAAAAATACTCAACACCACAATCAGACAATATTAAGGATGCTTTCGCAGAAGATTTGCAGGAGAGTTTACAACATACCGTGGAGATCAACCACAACCTTAACATGAGTAAATGTAAAGACAAACACTTGACTAAAGTAGAAGCCACCAACAGTCTACACAACAAGCCATCATCTTTTCACCCGTTACAAAATAGCACCGAAACCAAGTCTACTGACCTAGTGGTTGCCTCCAAGATATCGCGGTTTTCAAGATTCATCAACAAGTTTCATCTAAGAATAGCCAAAACCACATGCCAAAGCAAGAAATTCAATACGGTAACAGGGGCAGATATGACACCACATATCACCGAAAAGCACCCGACTTCTACCTGGAGAAGAAGATTCTCGAAACATCATACTTCCATGTTTTACCCGAGCGACAACGGACTGCTTCCACTAAGATTAGCCTCGGAAAACGTAACTAACACCAAACTTTGTGGTATATTTTCACCACCTGTTCCAGAGCCCATGAAGACTATAGACTCGCTCAAGGACGACCTAATCAAGAGAAGTGCCGAGTCTCCTCCGGTTCAGAACTTGTTTGATTTTGATTCCTTTTACAATGACAAGTTTTTCACAACTGGTGTAAGAAGGCCAATTACTTATGATAATTCACAGATAACCGATGAAACTATAGTAGCATAGAGCACTTTTCAAGAGAAGTTTACTCAATAGAATGTGTATAGTGGTTATTCCCTCTCTATTCAATGCTACCATTTGCCCCGCCAAAAAAAAAAAAAAAATGTCAGAGAAAAAATTTTGAATCCTTGACTCATTTTGATTCCTTAGTCTTTTCTTGGTTACTCTTTCCATTCCACTTCATACGAATACTAATTAAAAAAGAAAAAAAAAATTTATACTCATTCTGGTTATTTCTCAGTGTACTCTGGCCTGCAATGTTTAATCTTAAGAAAGTGATACGTCCAAACATCCTCACATTAGAGCCTTACCGATGTGCAAGGGATGATTTCAAGACTGGAATCTTATTGGATGCAAATGAAAATACCCATGGTCCAGCCCTTGCTGAAATTTCTGCAACAGAGAAAACACTAGAGCTCAACAGATACCCAGATCCACATCAATTGGAATTGAAACAGCAAATCGTCAATTTCCGAAATTCATCGCCAAACAAGTACAGTACTATCCCATTGAGTGTTGATAATCTCTGTCTCGGAGTGGGATCTGACGAGAGTATCGACATGTTGTTGAGATGTTGCTGCACCCCTGGAAAAGACAAATTGTTGACGTGTCCACCAACTTATGGAATGTACGCTATCTGTGCAACTGTTAACGACGTTGAAACTGTGAAAGTACCGTTGACTATACCCGATTTTCAAATTGATATTGAGGCTGTTGCGGCAAAGTTGGAGTCGGACTCAAGTATCAAACTCGTTTACTTGACTTCTCCAGGTAATCCAACCGGTAAACTAATCAATGTTGATGATATTGCAGAGTTGTTGAAAAGAGTGACTTATTCGTGGAATGGACTAGTTGTGGTTGATGAAGCATACATTGACTTCACCGCACCAAATGGTGAACACAGCCAATCTGTTTCCACTTTGGTCAACCAGTATCCTAACTTGGTGGTGTTGCAAACATTGAGCAAGTCATTTGGGTTAGCCGGTATTAGATTGGGAATCACATATTGCAGCACTGAATTGTCCAAGATTTTGAACTCGATGAAGTACCCATACAATATCTCGTCGCTCACGTCAGATATCGCATTAAAGGCTACGTCGCATTCAGGGTTAGAGGTTATGCACAAGTACGTGCAGAGTATTGTTGAGCAGAGAGATGCATTATTAAAGCAATTACTCAACTTGAAATATGTGGGGAAGAATATTGGTGGTCTTGATGCAAATTTTATCCTAGTGGAGATATTGGACAAGAATGGCAGCCCATCGAATGAAGTTGCATTAAAGTTGTACAACACATTAGCTGTAGATAATGCAGTGGTTGTCAGGTTCCGTGGTAAAGAATTGAACTGTATAGGTGCTCTTCGGATTTCAGTTGGAACCGAGGAGGAGAATAAAGAGTTGCTTTCCAAATTTGAAAAAGTGTTGAATGAAATAAATTCTTGATAGAGGTTGAATATAGACGTATAGATAAATATTCAATGCAATGTGCTGTACTGCTTGATAAAGTGCTTTACCTGTCGTGAGAAGCTAAAGGGTAAAAAAAAAAAAAAAAAACTTCAATCTAAATTTTTCACTTCGAAAATTTTTGAATCAATAAAACTACAGCGGTGACTACCTCAAATTGCCATGGCTAGACAGAATTTTGTGGGCTTGGTTGTATCCCAAGGTCGGATGAACAAGACTGTTAAAGTCAGAGTTCAAGGAAAAGTGTACGACAGAAGAATAGACAAGGAGGTGATTCGAAGAAAAGATTTCCTAGTTCATGATGAAGGAAACGTTAGTAAAGAAGGTGACATTGTTCGTATTGAGGCCATCCCCAAAATTTCCAAACGCAAGGCATTTGCAATAGCAGAGATCAAAGTCAACAAAGGTCAACAGTTTGCGCAGTATGAAGATTTGGCGAAACAACGAATCAAACAAGAAGATGAATTGGAAGCAAAGAAGTTTATTGAAAATAGGGAAGCTTTCAAGAGCATAATTACTCAACTTGAGGATCTTAGGAAGTTGGATCAAATCAGTCACGACATCACTAGTGGAGAGCAAGATACTGAAGCCAATTACCAAAACTTGATCAATGAAGTCAATTCGATCAAGGCCAAGTACAACATCAAATCATGGCCGACCACCGAACCAATAATAGACCTAGAGTTGAATGAACCCGTATATACATCCGAAGCCGAGAGGAGAGTGTACCACATGCAAGAAATCTTGGATAAGGTCATGAATGATTCAAAATATTCTGAATTGAAAGTGAAGATATTGAATGAAAAGTTGAAAAATAGGCCGATTGATGAGATTCAAAAGAGTGTTCAGAAGAATGTCTTGAGAAAGTATTTCATGGATGAAAGAAATGAATTGCCATTTGCCATATAGACGTCATAGTTGTACATAGTTAATTTGAGAAGAGGGGTTGACATTTGTGTTGTTTCGGCATGTAGGTATACCGTAGTCGTATTCAAAACGGTGCCGTGCTCTTACCCATTGTAGTTGGATCAGCCGTTCAAAAGGCAAACTAACCTACACTATTTTTGATGATGTATAACGTGTCGTCCGGAGTTAAGCAAAATTCACTATATGCGCAAAGCAAAAGAATCTCAACCGGGAAATATTCACTTACAGAGAAAATACTGTACTCATGACCATTATATCCTGTCAAGCTTCTTTCCGCACAGATAGAGTGTAACAACAGTCTAACTACAACTTGAATAGTTAGCACTTGTTTTGTTGTTGAAGGGCAATACGTCTGCAAAGACACTCCAAGAATATTCCAAAGCAGCATTCGTTTAGAATATGTTGACATACACATCAAGAACACAGATATAACACGCCACAACACTACCCACCACTTCCCATGTTTGATTTCTCACGGTCGAGTAGTACGTCCAGCTTCAAGGATGCCTTGAAGAGAGCTTCCACATCTATACGGCCACAACCTTTGAGCGATAAACGCGCTATTGAAAGTATTCAGCGATATCAAGATATACTATCGCCTATATTGATCAACACAAACACACTACTGCGATCAAATGATAAGATCTCAACATCTCACAGGAGGAAAATGGCTCCCGTATCCATCAAACATGCCTTGAATCTACCCTTGGAGTCAATACTAAACTTGTACGTGCGACCGGGGGAGCCTCATTTTGTGATGTGGTTCATGATTTCGTCGTACTTCCCGCTAACAGCAGCGTGTCTTGGTCCGCTTTCAAACATGATTTCCATAATCGCCTTGATTGAGCATTGGCGAGTGGATACAGAAACAGGAGTTTACCACTCTGACCCGAGAAAAGTAGTGATATTGAACGCAATGTCGTTGGCTTTTGGTCTCATTGGAAACATTTCATTGTTGATGAACTTCTCGAGATCTGTCAAGTACTTGATCACGCAATGCATATCTATCTTTTCGTGGTTTTGTGCGTGCATGCTTCTTGTTGCTGGGATTTTGATCACCAACTACCAGGCCTTGGATGACTATACAAACATCGACCGTTCGGAAGGATTTTATTGTGCGTGCTTTACAGCTGCCTACTATTTTGTCTGCATGGTGATATTGTTGGTAAACTTTGCCGGATACAGGTTGAACAAGTATCCAGCCACGTTTAATCTTGATCAGAAGCAGAGAACGTTGATGGTCTATACGATATTGTTCAGCGCGTGGAGCGTTGCTGGTGCCGTTGCGTTGGCTCATTTGATCAAAGGTATCTCGTACGGGTCCGCGTTGTATTATTGTATCGTGTCTCTTCTCACCATTGGATTGGGCGATATCATACCCGAGACGTCGGGGGCAAAGGTGGTGGCGTTGACATTCTCGTTTGTGGGTGTATTAATAATGGGGTTAATCGTGGCGACTTTGCGCTCAGTGATTTTGTCGTCGGCAGCTCCAGCTGTATTCTGGAACGATACTGAACTAAAGCGGAGGAAATATGTTGAGAAGCGCATGAAGTCGAATAGACCAATCACGCCCGAGGAAGCATTCCACCAGATACGCCGTATACGCAGTCATGTCAAGACAATCAGAGCCAACATCGGACTATTGACCACCATCTTGATATTTTTGGTGTACTGGCTTCTAGGGGGCATGGTTTTCCATTTTATTGAAGGCTGGTCATATTTCCACTCTGTCTACTTTTGTTTCCTTTGTTTATTGACCATTGGATATGGAGACTTTGCTCCGAAAACCGGACTTGGTCGTGTGTTTTTCATATCGTGGGCCATCTCCGCTGTGCCTTTAATGACAATTTTGGTGTCAAACGTTGGTGATGAACTATATGACATTTCCAATCGAACGAGTGAATGGTTTAGCAAGTGGTTGTTTCGGCCCGATAGTGCGTATCAAGAAAAGAAGAAAATTGCCAAAGAGATCAAAGAGGAGCACGGCGATGATGTGACCATCAACTCGTCAATATTGGCCGATGAGCTCTTACGCGACTACGATTTGACCATGCATGAATATGGAGATGAAGCTAGTGAGTGTAAAGAAGACGCGGAAATCGAACAGGAGATTGTGGATTTGGATGGCAGTGATGCTTCTGGCGGAGCAAATGATCCAGACGCAGGCGATGCCGCCACGCAAACGCTCAAGTTGCGGAATGTGCAGCACAAGATATCCGAGCGAGCTCGGAGGCACTTGGAAGTGTTGAAATACTTGGAAAGACTTAAGCCATTGATTTCTGATTGTGTGAGCAACCCGATGAAAAAATATACTCTCAAACAGTGGCACGGATTCTTTGAAATCTTGGAGCTAGATGAGTCGCCACAAGATGTGCAAGAAACGAGAAAATACGATGGGTTTTGGCTAGGTGACTATAGCCCACTTCGATTACCTTTGAAAGAGCCAAACTTTATGGTGTTGAAAGTGTACGACAAGATTGAAGAAACTGTTGCTCGGTTGATCGATGAGGAGATTGACGATTTAAAGTTGATGAACAATCAAGAGGGAGAGGAAGATGTTGGCCCACCTGCTGCGTCTGACAGGAAAGTGCAGTTTGGTACTTGAATGAGAGGTTATGCAAGATCCTGCAAGATCCTGCAAGCGCCTTTCCGTTTCTTTTTGATTTGTATTGTGAATGCGTTATTTTGATTGACTTGGAGGATCTTTGGATAGATAATGACGAGATTTTGGTAGTACAGATTGGCAAAACCTTGAGAACAATCGACTACGTCAAGTCTGCTGGAAGATTACTGCAAACTAGCACCAACATTGGTGCAACTATGGAGCAAACATTATAAACAACAATCTAACTACATAACTAACCAACTAATACATACATTGTACTCGACTTTTGATATGCAAGCCATTTTCTATTTACCGTAACCCAATCTCCCACTTCACTGTCCCACTTGTAGGTGAGACTCGGTCGCGGCTTCTTTTGTAATCACAGTATAATTTGGGTTGGAAGTGGATTTACTTTTTGTGGTGCAAAATGATTTTTCGCGTTTCGTTGAGAGAGTTTCAAAGATAACAGATCTCTGCAATCTCTACCACACACACATCATTTTAGATCACAGCAAAGTACTTCATACCTTGAGTCCGGCTGACACTACAGTCTTGCTATGAACCACAGAGAATCCGAAAGTTGTGTTGAGGACCTTGACGCAAACAGAGAACACATGCAGGACCCAGAGCCAACCGTTTTGCAAGTCGACGGAGTGTTTACTTTAAAATTATCACTGTTAAAGTACTTTTCATTTGTAGTCATTGGTATTGCACTACTATGGCCATGGAACTGTTTTCTTTCAGCATCAGCCTACTATGGCCTAAGGTTTGTTAACTCGCCGTCGCTATCCAAGGTTTATAGCTCAACCATGATGTCGGTGTCAACAATAACATCAACTTTATACAACTACTATCTATCTCAAAAACAAACTGGTGCCGACTATAAGAAAAGAGTCCATTTGGGACTAAACATAACAATCATCATTTTTGCATTCATGGCCATTACATGCGTGGTTCAATTGTTTCTTGATATGAACGATACAGCATTCTTTCTCATAATTATGTTTATGGTGTTGGCTTCTGCTTCTGCTACGTGCTTGGCCCAGAATGGTACTATGGCCATTGTCAATGTTATGGGAGAGATATATGCTAATGCCGTGATGGTAGGTCAAGCAGTTGCTGGTGTTTTACCTTCTTGTGCCTTAATCATATCAGTGTTACTCGTCGGAGACAACTCATCCAAGCAGGAAAAAATTGGCAAGGACTATGGTGTGTTTGTGTATTACATCACAGCGAGCTTAATTTGCATATTCTCTATTGGATTATTGTATTGGATCGAACATCACAAGTTAGGTGCAACATATCAGAAGGTGAGTTCTTCAATGGAAATGGGAGAAGAGACATCATTGCAAGTTGACCAAGATGAACCTGACATTGTTGAGGATGTCCCGACCCAAAAACAGTTTATACCTTTTTCTCAACTATGGGCCAAGTTGAAATTGGTTGTGATGACAATATTTTTTACATTCGGTATTACGTTGGTGTTTCCTGTTTTTGCCTCGGTTGTGGAGTCAACGAATACAAACCTGGAGCTGAGATTTTTCAGCAAGCAAATCTATATTCCCTTTGTTTATCTCATGTGGAATTTAGGTGATTTGATGGGAAGATTAATGTGCGGCTACCCCCAGTTACGCATGTTGATAACCAATCCACGAACGATGTTCATATACTCGCTAGCGCGTTTGGCATTTATCCCCCTATTCATGACTTGCAACATCCATCCTGGAGTGTCAGCACCGATCATTAATTCCGATTTGTGGTACGTTTTGTTACAGACTTTGTTCGGAATATCCAATGGGCAATTGTGCACTTCTGCATTTATGGTGGTTGGAAAATTATGTGACTCTGATGATGAGAAGGAAGCTGCTGGTGGGTTTACTACAGTGTTTTTGAGTGTTGGTTTAGCTGTTGGTAGCGTGTTTAGTTATTTAGTCGTCTTGATTGTGGGATGAATCAGTTAACCGAGAAATACACACAACACAATAATTAATGGTTTTCTTCTTCAACGGTTTTCTTCAGCACAACAACTTGTGAAAATATGTCTAGTGATCAATTCAAGGCAGTTGGTATTGCCACTGCAAAAGGAATAGGACGAGGCACCAAGGCATTGGGAAAGGCAGGTTACACGGCTTATAAGAAGAACGATGCAAAGCGGAAAGGAGTGGAATATGTTGAACCACCCAGTAAAGGTGATCGAAGTTCATCAACATCCACGTCAGCAGCAGCGACAGTAACAAATGCGGAGATAGAGCATCCACTGCCTTATGTGTTTAAGCCATTGCCTACCAAAGAAGCTCTCAGTTCGTATCAACAGCCTCCAAAAAGAAATGTTGGTGCTTATGCGCCATCCGAGCGCAAGTATGTGACCCCTCAGGGTACCCAAAACACAGCCCAGACTCAGCAATTGCAACAATCACAACAGCATCAACAGCCACAACAGTACCAACAGTCACAGCAGTATCAACAGTATCCACCACAATATTCTCCGCATGCTCAGCCTCTTCAACAAGCAGCGAATTACCCAGTCGAACAAGTAAACCAACCACCACCACCCCCAAGACCAGGTCAATCTACACCGATTGCACAGACTCAACCAGCTTCTGTGAATGCACAGCCTCCACAAGCACAGCCCACTCCATTTGCTCAAGTGAACTCCCAAGTTGTTAGTAATCAGCAACAGCTACAACTGAATGTGGTGCAACCTACGTACCCACAGCAGTATCACTCAACTCAGCCAGGATACGTACCACCACAATCACAACCGCAACCACAAGTGCAGGGAGAGGCACCACCCCCTGCTTATACCCAACACAATCAAACCCAGCAGTATCAGGAACCTTCAATACAATATGCACTGCAAGCTCAACCGAGCTTACCCCAACGCTCACAAGTGCAAACCCAACCTGTACCCCCAACCTTACCCAGTAGAACCTCAACAGTTTCAGGGACACATGTACAACCACAAGTGACGCAACCATTGTCTCTGCAGAGTCAGACTTCACCGGACATACCTAGTCGTGGGTCCACTTTGCAAACCCAACAAGTTGTCCAACATGTGGTTGGAAACGATGCAGCTGCGCAGGTACTGGAAAATCAATCTCTTGCTCAACCCATAGCTCTGAACGATATCAACCAGGTCGAAACAGAGAAACCAAAAAGACCATTACCTGATCCAAAATCATTTGCACCACCCCCTATGAGAAGAGTGCAGTCCCCCGATGCCACCGGTGCGTCTCATAAAAATGTTTCTCATGCTAAGCCATTACTGCAGTATGGGCATTCAAGTGTACATTCAAACGAGTTTGTCGCCACCTCTCCAACTAATACAGAGCAAGGGGAGTGCCAACCAGATACTACCCTGCAACCTCCTGCGTTGCCTAGTCGGACTAGTGCAAATAGTGTCAGCAGTAGCACACCTTCAAAGAAGCCCTTCGACTTGAGTGCTTTCCCACCGCCGCCACAAATTCCTAAACCCAAGTTCGATGGAGACAAAGAGAAACGCACTTTCGTGGCCTCGAGAAATGGAGATTCAGCTGACGAGGTGCCACCACCAATGCCATCTAGGCCACTGCAAAGTACACCTTCAGCATCATCGATCAGTGATTCAATTTCCGAAGCAAAAGAAGCTATTCAAAAGAAAAAGGCACCTCCAAAACCTGTTAAAAAGCCAAAGGCATTATCTAGTGGCCTCGACACATCTAATCAAGGCGTTCAGAGTGAATTAGAAAATATGTTCCAAAAGATGAATGTCAAAAAATCGACTTCAGGAGTTGAGGTGGAACAAAATGAGCCCCCAATTCCAAAACCCAAGTCTTCAAAGCAAGTGAGTCCACCACCTATCAAGCCAAAGCCAGTTGTTAAACCGAAGCCTGAAGTGAAGCCCAAGCCAGGGGTCACAGCAGCACGTGTAAACTCTCCTACTCCACCACCCACTCCTAAACCACGAAACTATAAGCGAGCTGCCGCTCCCACACCTACAGTCAATGCCCAAGGTCCTCCAGACTTGGATCTTGAGTTGACTACCCAATGGTTCACCAACACAAACAGTCTAGTACTTCCAAGATCAATACTAGGGTTGAATTATCAAACGAATTACCTGTATACTACGTCTGGAGGGTCGCAAATTTGGACAAGAATCATTACGGTAAGATTGAAGGATTTGTCAATTGTTTCGTACAAGTTTGTTTGGAATGCGAGCGATGCAGCTTCAGTGACTGTCTCTATTGACCGCTTTGTTCCATCGCCGCTTCTTACAATACCTTCCAAGCAGGAGCTTGTTGCGAACCACGAAAGATTTGGGGAATACGTTGCATCATGGTGCGAGCATCACAAGGGACAACAAGTTGGTAGTGGCGAGTGTTGGGACTTGGCGAAATTTGCACTTGAAAAGGGTTGCGGAAAGCATGCATTTGTGTCGCAGTATTATACACATGGATACCCTATATTGCAAATCAAAAACAGTGGTGCTGGTATTGAGTTTATCAACAGTCAGCAACAATTGGATGTGATTAGACGTGGGGATATTTTACAGTTCAAGGCTTGTACATTTTTCAATCCAATCACTGGGGTCACTCAAACTGTAGGAGCACCCGATCATACTAGTGTGGTTGTTGAAAATGATGGATCCAAATTGAAAGTTGTTGAGCAGAATGTCAACAATATCAGAAGGGTTGTGGAGGGAGAGTATATTTTAAAGAACTTGACTGCGGGAGAGGTTTATGTGTATAGACCCATGCCTTCTGACTGGGCAGGTAGTTTATAAATGGAACGACTTTTGAAAAATGTGTCTTGTTTTATTTTTTTTTTTTTTTTGTTTCTTTTTTTTTTATTCCTGTGCTAGATTTTGCAAAGCATCTCATTACTCAAGAGACAGGATATCATTGTCAGTGAAAATTCCCTCCACAACTCACACATACCCATGCATTCAGAAAAACCAGTGGCGCCCGCTCTTTCCACGTTCCAAGACGACTCCACATTCTCATACGATAAAGTCCAATCGACGCACAAGGAAAGGAAACATCTACATTTAACCGACCCACAAGATCACCAAGAGGTGCTCAACAAGATACGAGATTACTACTGCTTACCTCAACTAGTTGAAACGCTTTCTGAGAGGAGTGAGAGCGGAGATCTAAAGTACAAGCGTATCACTCTACAGTTCCCTGATGAACTTATCTGTGACTCTGCGACTATAGTCCACCACCTCCAGGAGAAGCTAGACATCAATGGAGCTGCGTCCAGTAACCAGGGCCAAAAAGTTTGGATTCTCGCGGATACGTCTTATTCTGCATGTTGTGTGGATGAAATAGCCGCTGAACACGTCCAAAGTGACTTGGTTGTTCATTTCGGAGATGCGTGTTTGAATGAAGTTGCGAAATTGAATTCAAAGTATGTGTTGGGAATACCCGAGGTTGATGTGGAAGAAATAGCGAAACAGTTCCGGCAGAGGTACAACTTGAAAGATAAAGTGGTTTTGATGGCAAATGCCCCCTTTACTTATATTCTCCATCAACTTAGAGACAAATTGACGGGTTATAATAATATCATTGTCGCTGATTTGATAGTTCCTAGTTCAAAATCGGAAATCATTGGGTATAAGCCAACAAAAACTAACACGTACTCCAAGTTCAATCGAACATTCCCCGTGGAGGAGATATCCCAATACGACTTATTTCATGTCACCACACCAAAAGCTCCAAGACTACTACAATTAACAACAAATTTCGCCTCAGTCACCACTTACGACCCGGACACAAACTCAACCTCACAAGGGCCGTATCCAAACTTGATGAGGCGATACAAGTTTGTTCATGTTGCTCGAACTGCAGGCACGATAGGTATTCTAGTCAATACGTTGTCTTTATCCAATACCAAACAATTGATAAATACAATCAAGGACAAGATCAAAAAAGCCGGTAAGAAACATTATGTGTTTGTGGTTGGGAAACCGAATGTTGCCAAATTGGCCAATTTCGAAAGTGTCGATCTTTGGTGTGTCTTGGGTTGTGATCATCAAGGTATTATAATTGATCAAGTGAATGAATTTTTCAAACCTATTGTGACTCCGTATGAGTTGTTGCTTGGGTTGAGTGATGAGTTGACCTGGACTGGGAAGTGGGTTACTGATTACAAGAGTGTGATTGAAGATTATAAACAAGAAGAGGAAAGAGAAAGACGGGAGTCAGAGGTCGGTGCTGGTGATGATGATGATGATGATGACGAGTTGAGTTCTGATGAAGCCCCTGAGTTTGATCCTGTCACTGGTAGATATGTGAGCACGTCTAGACCACTTCGACAGATTAACCACTTGAGAATCAAAAATGAGATTGAAAATGAGACCAACGCCAGTGATGAAAAGAGGTTAGTTGAGAGGTTTGCAAACAGTGTTGCTATCCGAAACACCGTAAGTACATCAGCCATGCATTTACAAAATAGACAGTGGACTGGTTTGGGTAGTGATTATACAAGAGAAGGTGAATCTGGAGACGATGAAGAGGATGGTTCGTTGGCGGTTGAAGGAAGGTTGGGTATCGCTAGGGGATATGATTTTGATACACAAGAGCAGAAGAAGTAACTATAGGCAAGGATCAAAGAGCCTAGAACTTACGTTGATAGGAGTACTTTTTTTCTTCGAAATTTGGTCTGATTTTGTATATAAAATGTATCTTGTAATTACTGCAAAAAAAAAAAGTCAGAAACAAAAATTACACCAACAACTATGTTTCTCTTTCTCTTAATTATTCAAGGTACATTCAAGGCCTAGCTCTTTTACTTCGGTGCCTATTTGCTAAATAAATCTACTTTGCTATTCATATTTTGTTGTTGCATTATTAATGTGTTTTGCATACTTTACTCAACCAAACGAGGGAAGAAATTGGGCAGAAATTATTCTTCTCGTCATTGAAGTTTTCACATTCATTCTATTCTTTATATCGTATGTCTAGAAAACATCAACAAGCGCTAGCTAACCTTATACACAAGCTACCTTTGTTGGAAAGTTGCATGTACTAACTATGAGCAGCTTCTTCTCCTTATGGTGGACTCCACTACCCTACATCTTGTTGACTATATTCATCATTTTAGTTATTGTCAGTTTTATATTATTGTTTATTGATGCGTACAACTATCCAGCGAAAAACCAATGGAAAGGATTAGGCAGCAGTGATATTGCCCTTGTCACTGGAGGATCTAGTGGACTCGGATTGGAAATTGTCAAGTCGTTGTTGATACGAGATGTCACTGTGTATGTGCTTGATCGCAATCCAATTCCATTGAAATTAGCCGAGGATGCGAAACTCCATTACATTGCTTGTGATTTAGGAGATGAGTGTGAGTTGAAAGACAAGTTGAACAGGTTGGTCCATGACTTGAATAATAAGAAACAGTATATTAGTGTGCTTGTGAATAACGCCGGAGTTCGAGATCATCGGTCATTGGTCAATTTAAGCTTTGATAAAGTCAAGGCAATGTTCAACATCAATACGATCCTGCAAGTTTACATTTTACAAAAAATACTTTCAAACCACTTATCGTACAATGGCAATGGCAAGTTGTCAATAGTGACAGTATCGTCCATTTTAGGAACATTTGCACCAAAAAATTTATCAATTTATTCGGCAACCAAAGCATCACAAATCATGTTACATGAGTCCTTGCAACAGGAGTTGAGACAATTTCCCAAAATTAGATTGTTGTTAGTCACCACGGGACAAATGAATACTGAATTGTTCAAGGATGTGAAGCCCACAAAACAATTTATTGCGCCTGTTGTTGATCACGTTGAATTGGCACAGACAATTACGAAAAAAGTTGATAGAGGTTATATGGGCTGTTTGGCAGAACCAATGTATGCAAATTTACTTCCAGGAATAAGAACGGCGCCATTGTTTGTACAAGATTTTTGTAGATGGGTTAGTGAGATTGATGATAAAGTCAAGGATATCATTTGAGGAGAGGGACTATGGGTAGAGGAGGACACTTTGTTTGATTCAAGACATTCGTTAGCTATATAGATATCTGTAATAGACGGAAACAAAATGAGCCTTACTGATGTTTCTTGTCGACTTTGTTTATCTCTTCGCTGATCAACTTTATGAATTCATCTCTGTTGAAGTACCCAATGACATCGAAGAACTTGTTAAACGGTATTGCTGCAGTAACGACCGTGTCTTTCACAGTGATCGTTACATTATAGTAAGGTTCATATTTCTTGATATCCGATGCAATTGTGATCCTACTGCCCTTTGAGTCGTCTCCAATGTATTTGACATTTTTGTATTTCAAGTTGATCAAGAATAAGATCGCATTTAGAACCCCATACACGACACAAGCAGCCACTGTGATGGAATATATATCCTTGAATTGGTACTTTTTATCAGCAAGAAAAAGCAAACCGGCAATGGCAACTGTAGCCACACCAAGACCTAGTTTTACGTCAGTTATGATGAATGATTCATCGTACCCCAATTGTTGCAATACTGAGTTCAAATTCTCATCAGTGGTCTTCTGTAAATCCCTGACTGAATTGAGATTGGTTTTTTTCAATTGTGACATATTTGATGGAGGTGGTCTTGTAGAGTGGTGCTTCAAGAGAATTCAACTGTAGCCCTTGTCGTCTTATGATCTTTTTCTGCAGTGTATGTGGTATTGAACACAGCGTGTTTGATTTTTATTTTATTTTATTTTATTTTGTTCTTTTTTTTTGTGAGCTCTACACATATAACACCAAATTCAATTCAACTATTGCTCTATTTATTGAAGGATAGACACATACAAGCTTCAACATGGAGCGATCTCTCATGGATGGTAAAAAAATACACTAATAATATTAACCAAAAACCCACTACATAATGAATTCGCATTTTCTGATAGACGTAGGTGTCATACATTATAAAGCGTGTGTATACACGTGTTTGGAGTTGGCACGTGAATATAATCACGTGACTTTAACAAAAGAACTTTTCCTCTCTCAGACAAACATCACAACACTCACAACAACCACTACATCTCATTTGTTACTTTTTTCCCTAGATCTTTTGCATTTCCTTTAACTTCCTGGTTTTGATCTCTCAACTCCTTCTGCTTGTGAGATAGAACCACATTGGAAAACCCACGGAACCGGGACTACAAAACACTTGTTAGTTTCTCCCCAATTTTTTACTACTTCAACAAGGAAGTCTGTTTGCTTGTTAGCTTTTGCATTATCCAGAGGGCTAGTAGCGTTGACTTGGAGTTCAACAATCACTTGGCATTTGCATATAATATCACTCCATTAGATTGGTGGTTTGCTGTATACCTTGCTATTACCCCACCCAGCATGCATAAGTTTGTCTGCTAATGACAAGCTTACCTATTATTGATACCCAAATGACCGATAACAAAAATAAAATAAGTGGATCTGGATCTGGTTCCAGAACTCCTACACTTCAACAACAACAACAACAGCAGCAGCAACAACAACAACAGCAGCAACAACAACAACAAAAGCTGCAGCTGCAGACATTTAACAAGAGGACTAATGTGAAACGAGCACAAAGTAGCCGCAACAAGTCAAGAAGGTATGACCACAGGAATGACCGTGAATTAATGCCGTTGGAGTCACAGTTAACCCAGGGCCGCAAAGTGAATGGAAACAGTCGCAAGAACCAAATATCCATCAATCACTTGTTAGATTTCCAGTCGTATCGCGACACTGAAGAATACGCGATAAATCACCAACGGGACCGGACAAGACGGAGATCGAGTAGTCACAAGAAAAACCAACCTGCCAAGGTACATCTTTCCGGTATGAAATACATCAATGTCAATTTCAAATTTGTGGTCGATTCAAGAGGGGATTACAAGGTCCAACAGTTGGACCCCAATGTGCCCATTGATGTCAACAATATCATGTCTATTATCGCACCAAAAGCTAGTTGTCCCATCTGCTTAACTAATGATATTATTGCCCCACGTATGATTGTGTCGTGCGGCCACATTCTTTGTCTTAAATGTGTCTTGTCGTTATTGGAGCAAGAAGTCCCCAAAGCAAAGAAACGTGAATCGGCAGCGATTGTGGAAAAGTACCGTGAGTGTCCCTTGTGCTTTTCGATTATACGTAAACATGAGTTGAAACCAGTCATTATTCAGCACATTGATGAAAAATTTGAAGTGCCTAAAGTTCGCGATGATGTTGTTTTGACGTTGATGATGAGGGATCTGCACAAGATTCTATCATTGCCAAAATCCATTGCTGTGTCCAATCATGTTGCTGATTTCCCCGACATAAACCAAGCGGACTTGACGTCGTACCTGAGGATATTCAAAGGTGACTACAGCTATATGACTTCAATGTATGAGGTGGAAAAAGTACAAGTTGTTGCGAACCATGAAGAAGAAAAGGAGTTGTATGGCGATGATCTGGCGTTGGTACAACAGACTTTGTCCCACATAGATCAAGAAATCGCAGATTGGAGCTCGAGATTTGCTACGTCGTTAGATAGAGAACATAAACATGCTAACGCGCAAGACGGTGCATCTTCTTTGCTTCCATTACATCAGACATTTTACTATTATGAAACTGGATTCAATGCCGGATGTACATATGTGCTTTCCCCACTAGATATGAAGGTTTTGAAAGCCACGTATTCCAATTATGAGAGCTTACCCACCAGTATTATTGCCAAGATTGAAAACATTCGCTACGAGGAGCTATCACAGGAAACGTCAATGACCAAATATAAATATCTTAGCCATTTACCAATTGGTACACAGATTGGGTTTCTTGAATGTGATTGGAACCACAATGAGTATGTGTCGCAAGATGTTTGGGAAATGTACAAGAATGACTTGGTTAAACGATCAAAAAATTCAAACAAGCGGTTTATGAGAGAAGAGAGGAATAGGAAGCGAGCAGAACTGGAAGAGGAACTTAAATTGAAGCAGTTTTATATGGAAGAGAATGGATTGGGCAGTGAAGATTTCCCAAATCACTCAGGATCATTTTCAAGTTATGAAGTTGGGGTAAGAAACCGATTCGCGACATTGTCGGTCAATGGTAATGCCATGCCTCCTTCGTTTTCAGATAATCCGTTATCAACCGAGAGTGAGAATGAGATCAACAATGACGATGACAGTGGGGTGGCTGACGAAGAACATGATGGTGATAAAGATGAATACATTACGACCGTTTGGGGTACACGGATCAAAAAATCACACGACGTCAGTGATTTACATGAACTTGCCGTTGAAGACGAATGGGATGATTGGGATGCCGATGAGTTGATTAGGAAGGCACGCGAAGAGAATAATGAGAATTACGGTGAGAGTGATGGCACAGGAGGAGGAAGCAATGATGGTGCTAGTCATGGGAAAAAGAAGAAGAAGAAGAAAAAGAAGTTGGTGTTAATGTCATCGTAATGAGAGCAGTGACATTCGTGATATCTGAAGTATCGAAGTCGTGGTCTTACAAAGTTTCTAACAGTTGAATACGTTCAGTATAAAAGTAAAAACGACAAAAATAAAATAGAAATGAAATCATGATAATGAATACTCCCTCTTGATCAGTAGTTAAAAAAGTTGTTTCAACTTTCTAGCATTTATGTGACTAACAGAGGTGACAGCAACGTTGCAGTTCAGTAATATGTAATCCGTGCTTTGCAACGTGTCATCAGGATCAACACTACCTTCAACACCAAGTTTGTGGTTGCTCTTTTGTTGATCATGCTCGTTGTTATCCAGAAAATCGTCACCATCAGTATCATTCTTGAGTTTAAAGCTAGCATAGTCTCTTGAACTTTCCTCGTCGTCTCGTGCCAGTTTGATGAGTCTTCCATCCAAGTCCATTTCGTACTCAAACACAGTCACATCACTCTGGCGATCTTGATGCTGTGTATTGTCGCGCATGGGCATCATTACCTGATATTCCAACTCTGTTGATTTGCCTGTTTGACAATAAGAATTCCGGAAATTTAAACTAGGGAATTGTAAATGCAAACCAACACGTGTTGTAGAAGATGCAGTTGTCCTGGTGTGTGCATTCAATTGTGCTAGTTTATGAACCAATTTGCCCACGTGTCTATTGATCAATTTGATATTCTTTGTAAACACATTCAGTTTGGACAATTGCAGGTCAAGGTCATGGAATGACGTTTTGAAATACTTTTCGTTTTGGAAGTAAAGTGGATGGTAGTCTTGATTGGAGATAGCCATGACGTCTACTTTTGCATCTTCCTGCACTTGACGAATCATTGATGTGACACGTCCTGCATGTTTGAGTCCTTCATTTGGACCAATAATGACTAAATCAAGTTTGAAATCAGGGTAGTATTTAGGAATGAGCAAGTTTGAGGCAATTTGTAACCCACACACGGCATCACAGTTGACGTACCATGCATCGTGATTGTTTGGATCTTGTCCGTATTGGTTATTCATCAAGACATCCTCCTCCTCTTCGTTGATAGCGTCTTCCTTGAATACAACTTGTTTAGCTCGTTTCTGATGGTGTTGTTTACTGACTCTGGAGTAGTAAGTTTGATGGACTGGTAATAAATGGCCATATTCTCCACCATCGTTTATACCTTTCAACCTCTGTGTGAATGTCGTTGGAAGTTGGAGGTTTGTGTTTTGTTGGTATAAAGGAGCCATCAATATGACACTATGGCCCTGTTGTTGTAGATGTGCTTGAAGAAACCGTACATTTTTCGAAGTCCAATCGTCTATTGAAGTGAGAAGAATGTTGAGACAAAGTGTGGTTGTTATGATACAACAAAGTATTAGTGCCGATGTGTATACTCTCATTGTCTGTGATTCACTCTTTGAGGTAGCAAGTTGGAGGTTATAGTTGAAGCAGTTTCGTATACATATGGTGGGGAAATATAGTAAAAGTGATTCACATATAATTAAGATTCAGATGGAAAGCACGGATCAAGTGGTGTCTATTTATAACCTCCTTACTATGTTCAATGTGTAATACACAAATTCAACAATTCAATCATTCTGACCACTGAATTTAGAAGAAGTGATATGTATATATTTTTAGAATTGGTCTTTGTGGTTGTTGGTTATACGCTGAGAGATGATGACGGGTGCGAAAAAAAAATAAAAAAATAAAAAAATATAATGAATGAGAAGAAAGTGAAAGATGAGAAAAACGTGCGCCCCACTTTGATTCTCTGAAAAGTCTGGCGGTTAAACTTTCATTCGAGGAAATTGTGTAACATCAAACCTAAAGCTAAACCTAAAATCCACAATATCACAATTCATCTACTGTGGCAATAAGAGGATGGTCAAAAATTACAAACCACAAAACAAATAAAATGTGAAGCTTCACTTCTTATTAATCTTTTTTTTTTTTGTTTTTTTTTTTTAGAAAATGCATTTTAAATTGTTTGATGCCCTCGTGTATTTTGGAATGAGTGCTCCAATTTAGAAAAAGCCTCAAAATCACTTCTTATAATATCCGTAGCTTGACCACGTGTGTCATCTCATCCATTAGATCTACTTCTTTATATTATTCATCTGATTGATATCTACGGATAAGTCAACATTTTTCCAATTTCACCTATATCCATATATATATATCTCTCAGCATGCAGATATGTACTTACTCAAAAGAACTGTTTGAGGCTTTGCAGAAATTTTGTGCTTTTCCTATGCCTGATCTATTATTAGATAAAATGTCTGCAGCCGGCACCCGCTTCACTAAGTAAAGCCAGCAGCTGCTATTTATAGCACCAAAATTGTGGCTTATACATGAAATATCAGTACTCTGAATATCTGTGAGATACACAGTGCTATTTTAGTATATCAATCAATCAAATTTTATAAGTTGTATTTGGTTATGTTTTTTCCATTTGTGTGTCGAAAATGTCTCTGTGGTATAGAGGGAGGATTTGATCTAAAAATAACCTTTGCATGAAATTTTTTGCACAATGGACGTTATACATACATCCGACACAACGTAAGTGAAAATATATATAATCCAATCAAGCTGTGTCTTCTGTCCATGTGTTGTTGGACTATGCTATTATCGCTTTTTGCAAGCTAAGGATATATCATCAGCGTTTTAATCTTCTATGTGTTTTCTTTTGTGGTGCCGAACATAAATTGTACCGCTCCTTTCTATAAAACATCCTCTCAACTACTCCTCTGCGTCACCTAGCACCCTCCCTCTTTCCCTCACTCTATTGTAATTGCATCAGCTATAAACTTTTGCTCGTCTTCACTCAAATTGCCAAACAACTTTTGGAAATGATTCGCGTCGCTCTGTTGAAGATCATGCAAGTACACTTTAAAAACCTCAAACACATTAACTCCATCCAATGGTGTAGTCGCTAATGGATCGTCAAATAGTTCCTCATCAGTGTCACTATAAAATCCCAGGTGAGCTAAATCTGCATTCTGTGAAGCGAGGAAATCGGTGTACTTACGAATAGTCTCCTCATCCAAATCGTCTACCGACTCGCCCATTGAGAGGCTTCTTGAATCGTGGTCCTCATGCCCTGCTTCATTGGCCTCAATATCTTCAAAGTCTTCTTCCCATTCATCATCACCATCATTTCCAAAGCTAGTCGACGAGGGAAGGGCTTGGGTTGCTCCATTCAAACCGTTAATGTCGTTTCTCTTTTTCTCCAACTCTGGGATAGCTTTTGACAACAGCTTTAATACATTAACATACTTGTGCAGGATTTCCTGAATAATCTCTTGTGGTAAAGAGTTCACTTTGGATAAATTCACCAACCCCAACAATGCCAACTTCAAATCGTAAACTCTAGTCAACTGAGGAATCATTTCAAACCACTTGTTGAAAAACTCAACGAAATGGTTAGCTTGTTGAAGCAACATAATTACCTCTTGATCATTATATATCAAACAAGCAACAATAACATTGAAAACATTGACAGCAAGGGCACTGGTCAACCTTCTATTCTCCAATTTTCCAAAATTCTCAAAAGCAAACTTGATCAACAGCGTGATATATGGGTTTGCCTTTTCCTCTAAACTCAAGACAAATGTTTGAGTAAACTCCAAAGCAAAATTTATATCAGCCACTCCCAATCCATCCTCATCGGATATAATCATACTCCATATAGAATACATTGACATAGACAAAGCATCATTACCCTTCAACTCTTGCTTGCCATGTATCAAGAAATTTTGCAAACATGGCATCAACTCCTCAACATACATCAATGCCGACCCATCTTCAAAACTCTTGTAAAGTAACTCAAAATTGGACCACATGCAAGGAGTAACTGATCGCAACAAGAAAATTGAATTATCCATCAATTCGCCCACCTCCGCGTAAAACTCATCCATTTGATTACCTAGTACAAATGAAATAACTGGAGAAGTGATCTCCTCCAACTTGATACAAATCTCTTGAGAGTTTTCAAACGACAAAAGAACAGTAATCATGGTATTGATGAACCCAACAGCAGCCATTGACTTGTCACCTTGATCGTCATAATTGCCATCAAAATCATCAACTTCGACTTTGGATGCATCATTTAGTTCCATCGCTAGACGCATAAACTGGGACACTAATTTACTCATTAAATCAACGCCAAAAGGCTGCAATTGCTCTGAAAAATTTTCCACACACTCTTGCATCACTACTGATATGGCATCGTTGTCAATTTCATTAGACATTTCCAAAAGCTTGGACATGGTGGGCAAGACAATAGTTGCCAACGTTTGCTTAAATGCGTCCACTTCTATAAACCCTTGTATGGCCAATGCACTGTTGAATTGAACTGGCAAAGAAACCTCGGAATCATTAAAATTTTGTAAAATACCATGCACCAATACTGACAAAGTTTGCTGGTTTGTAAATTCAACGTCGGAAAATTGAGAACAAACTTCAACGGCTCGCGCCTTGAGGAAATCATGCTTGGAATTTAAATTGGGGATAACCAACGACGACAACACGGGTTCAATTGATGCGTCCTTGGGCAAGTAGCCCGATATATTGCCCAATATTCTCAACAACCCTTCCTTCTTTTTCGCCACTTCCAAAGTCTCTTCTGGAGATTGTTGCAACAGAGTCAATTCATTTTGTATTAGATTCGTGATGGGTTGCAAACAAGACTTTCTACGTTTGTGTAGAGCTGTGGCGATGAAACCTAATGCTGCAGACTCAGCGTTGTTATAGTCTCCAGTTATATCAAAGCACAAATTGATATATTCTTGAGGATCCTCGTCGTATATTTCCAAGACTTGGTCGGTTGGCACAATCACTGGATAAACAAGATGAGTAACTAGTGTTTCAAAGTATGGCTTAATCAACTTCCAGGTAGTTTGTTCAACAATACAGTGGCTCAAGAATTCGAGAATTTGATACAATGCCGTCAAACCTAGCCACCTTTTCCCATGACAATATTCTTCTATGATGGCTAAAAATTGTTCAATAAAACGAGGAATAAACTCGGTAATAAATAAATCATGGAAATCCTTGTAGCTCACTTTTCTGCTCAAAGTGTTTGATGATGCGTACCGTGTGAATAAACGCAAAATATTAGCAATGGCCCATTTGTAACATTTGGATACTTGCAAAAAAGACTTCTCCTGTTCGGTAATGTCCGAGGAAGTCACATAACTAGGAGGACTCATGTTTATAACCGAAGCGTGAAATTGGCCCCAAGCAAATACCTGATCCCTTGTACGTAACGATTCTGGAAAATCGTAATAGGTGACAAATTTGTAAGACTTGAGTATCATCTTCAAAATTTCAGCCTTCAACTCAGTAATCTCTTGGCCGTCTAAGACACTCTTTACTATCGAATCTCCAATTATTAACAAAAATGGGAAAACCTCGTCAACTAAGGAGTACATTTTTGGCTTTTTCGCTTCATTATCAGTCCACTTAAACTTTCTGCATATTTCAGTAAAGCACAACATTGCCGTGTACAAATACTCGTCCGAGTTTTGCAGCTGCGCCAACAACTCGCCAGTTTGTTGCAACAACAGGTTCCAGCTTTCAAACTCTAACGAAATCAAAAGTCTCAAAACGGGGATAAGTTGTTGTTTAATGTGATAATCACAAACAAGAATCACTGGTAATAATCGGTCCTTTATAACGGGCCGTTCGTCATTGTCTATGCGTAGTGTACCTGAATCATCCTTGAGGTTCCAAAACTTGATTATCCTGTTTTTGAAATATACGGCAGCTGCTTTCTTTACGTGACCTGGTGTTTCAGCCTGAGCCAAAATGTCCAAGCAACAGCCGAGGAAACCAGGTTGTTTTGACAACTCTCGAAGTTTTGTCTCAGCATCGGTTCTGCTCTGTACATCAGTGAGTAAAGTACCAGCAAAACAATCGAGGATTACACTTGTATTGATTGTTGTGGCCATATTCAAACTATGGAGTTCGATTATATTAGTTTATGAAAAAACTCACCCTGTGCTCAAATTTTTTTTTTTTTTTTTTTTTTTTTTTTTTTTTTTTTTTTTTTTTTTTTTTTTTNGTCTTTTGTTTAAATTTTTTTTTTTTTTTTTTTTTTTTTTTGTTCCTTGTTTCAAGCTCAATTTTGATTTAAGCGAAGCGATGTGATGTGATGATTAATCAACAAAATTATTATTGTAGGCTTAATTCACTTTGAATATGTCTGAGACACTTAATACGCCACAAAAACTAAAACCTTAGTCTGACCAAGGTTGTGGCGATTAGGAGAGATTTTTTTTTTTGAGGACGGAAAGGGTTTAATGCCATTTGTTGAATTGGCCGAGATGTATATGACCAAGTACTGGAAGGAAACCAACCTTTAGGGCTGTTCAGAAAATCACCAACTTAACCGCGGAGCCTTTACATGTCGCGTATAGATGTGCACTTGTGCTCTAGGGAAGTTCCTTCGCCAATCTCCTTTGGTGCCCAATACTATGGCGTCGAAGTACTGGCAAGCGTGGGAAAAGTCAGAGCTACGAAGCACTTGCTTGTTTGCAAGATATTATCATCTTCTGTTATTGATAACACTATATAAACAAACTCAAAAACTAAAGACAGCCACGTGGCGTGATTCTTGTGACAAAATAGAAACACTAATGAATGCAGTTGATGATAATTCTTAAGGACCAAAACCAACAAGGGCGGCCATAATTATTTTGCAAATTTAATGCAAAAAATAAAAAAAGAAAGGATTGACAACTTCTGATTGACTATTAAACAAAAGTTATAGATTGTTGTATTCTATTTGATAATATAAAGAGATCTCTTTAATTACTATAGTAGATGCTCAAAGGCGAAAACTTTATTTTGAATTTGATTATATTATTTAGATAGATTACGAGGTTGCAAAATAATAATAACTTCATTCAAAAAGTTTATGTTACAGGAAGAGAAGTGAATCTGACAAAAATACACTCAGCCTTTGAATGTACAGAGTAAATATAATATTTCCATCTCATGACTGTTTGGAAACCCCAATGCTACACAACATTTTCTATGTCAATGAAACATGATCTTATGGCTAGCCGGTAATGACTTGATGACACCAAGAAATTTGACATTGGATATGACAATTCCATACAGATGGAGTGACCTATATTTACGTAAGGAGTTCCGAGAATTTGAGCTTATCAACTCAAAGACGTACCAACCTCGCCAGTCTCAGCAAAGCTTTTCAACATCTCAACCATGATCAAACATTACGTATTGGTACTAATAGCCTTCCATATATTCAGTTGTTCTCACGTGATTGCATTTAATGAGACAAACAATAGCAATCGAGTCCCGGAAGAGGGAAAATACTACGATTTCTCCAACAATGTTGAGCTCTATTACGAGGATACATATGAAGAGCAAGCAGGCTCATCTGTCTGCTCATTACTAGTTGGTCCCTACGAGTTTGAGGAATTTCCACATAGTTCCAGTAATTATACATACATCAATGAAAATGATGTGGAGACAAGTAGCACTGATGCCACGTTGACCACTGCAAGTGCAAGCACGTTTTCACTAGAGGAATATTTCTTGTCGTTTTCAGATATAAGTGTTGAATCTACAGAGATATCAGAGACGAGTTACTATGACTTCACGTCGACCACTACAAGCATAATCTCATCGGAAGAAAGTTTGTTGTCGTTTTCGGACATAGCTGCTGAATATACAGAGATCGTAGCAACAAGTTACATCGGCCCCATCTCGACAAGCACAAGCACAGGCACGGGCACGGCGTCAGCGGAGGGACGTTTAGTTTCATTTACAGATGCAAGTGCTGAATCTCCGGAAACAGTTCCAGATTCCAGTTCCGTGGGACCACCAGTCTTCTTATCTGAATATGATACCGAGTCAGTTTCTTTGGATCCAAGTCTATTTGATATGTCAAGTTACACCAGTGATTCACTCATTTCTAAAACTGAAATTGACACTGGAACTGAAACTGAAACTGACATTGACACTGAGCCAGAAGTGGCCAGGGACCCAGTGGAGAGGTACACTACAACGCCTCCTGATGGTGCAACTGTTGGAACGCCAACATCTTCATCTTCAACTACAAGTGGCGGGGGTAATCCACTTGAGTTCCTAATTAGCTTGATTTGGCACGATGAGAGGTACGAAGGAGAGGAAACACAACGATATCCAAGAATGGAATTTCAAGTTATGAGTGTGGAGCCCGCTCTTAACTCCCTATGGAAGGTCACGTTCCACATTCACTCAGCATACGATCCAGTGTTGATGCACGAGTTGCTTGGATCTGATATGATGTATGTCGACTTGGACTACTCAGTAAAGGATGTTCCCACTTCACTAATATTGAACGGGCCTGGTGCACCGTACGCGTACAGTAACCCGTTTGATATACAAGCAAGTATATTGATTGCCCCATCAGTGCACGGGGACTATTTTTGTTTGCCAGATGACCTTAGATTCACATATGAAGCAGATCCAGTGACATCCTCTTGGATGGAAGTCTTTTACATTCGTACAAAGTATTTTGTGAATACGGAATTGCCAGATCTTGATTCCAATGCTGTAGATTCTGGAGCCATTGATGAGCAATTAGAGGTTGGTCATATCATTTCAAACTTTTGTTGGAAAATCCCAGATTGCTCGGAGTCAGATATTTTGGCATCTTTGTCCTCAGAGGCACGTCTTGTTGCTTTTCCGACGTCTGATTATTCATCCGAAACTGATAGTTCCATATCTTCTCCTGTCACTGAAGAATCTGAATCATCCATTCAAAACGAATCCCAGTCTTTGGAAAGTTTTGTTTCTAAGGTTCTTGTTCAGTTGCCAGTTGAGTCTGCAACTGAATCAATGGTTGAAATGGCACTAGAGTCAGGAAACGCTTCTGAGCTCAATGGTTTTGGCAGTTCCTCAATCGAAACTGAACCAAGCAACGTGGATGAGCCAACAAGTGAGTCTTTAATGGAATCGCTGAATGAAACAGAAAATGGACACACAGTGGAATCCATGGGTGAGATAGAATACGCTTTCACTTCCGAATGGGGATCTGATTCACCAACTGGCTCAACAACTCGCTCAACAATTGACCCTACAACTGAGCTGGAAGTAGAAATGTGGGCCTACTCATCTACTCTCATGGGAGCAGCATCGGCTATTGATGCAACGTCTGAGTTTGAATCTGTGACAGAAAGTGATTCATCAACTGTAACCGGAATTGAGCTCAGGTCATATCTGGATACAAGCAATAGAGGGTTCGAAACTGAAGCCACGAATAATCCACTACTAGGGACAGAAACTGACACCTTTGATGCCGAAACCAGTCCTACATCTAGCTATGCAAGCGAGTTGTACAACGGGCCAATAATATCCTTGGAAACTAACTTCGTGTCTATTTGGTACAGCAGTGAAATCCTGGATGAGCTGGCAATTGGATTGAACGAGGTAGTATCTAACTCAAACAGCGCATCCACTCCTCAAGCGGAACTGACAATGGCTGCAGTCGCCAGCGACAGCAGCTTTGAAAATACGAATGATTGGGGGACGGGATCAATGACAGGGTCCAGTACCGAAACCCCTGTGGTGTATTTCGACTTCTCCAACGACATGGAGTACGTTTACGAAGAGGAAAATGGAGATCGGGCCCATACGTCTGTTTGTTTAGTACAAGAAGGATACTACGAGCTTGAAGAAGTACCATTTAGCACACTTGACCCACTAATTGGCAATTCAAATTCATATGTGAACATTGTGTCAGAGATAAACTTTGTGAGTTTGGTGGTGGCAAGTATCTATCCAAATGAATTGAGTGTGTACCTCACTTTGGGTAGCAGTGTTGAGTCCACGGCGACCAGTGTGGAATACAATACAAATGAATATGGCGATTCAGTACAAAGCCCAGTAGGAGTATCAGATACAAGCATGGCAAGCAGTGTCCTTGGATCGTATATATCGGAAGCTCCTTTTAAATTTTCAGCAACGGGCTTGGAAAGCAATGCAGTTGCACCTGGTTATGCATTTGAATCTTCTAGTGAATCTAAAGAGTCAAACTTGGAATCTAGCATAGACGAGCTTGAATTTTCTTCACAACCAGCAATTGAATCCTCAGCGATATATACAGAGAGCAGCATCATTCAGCCTGCATACTCATCAGAGACTCCAATTGAAACCAAAGACGCAGGTTTCGAAAGCAGCACAAGCGAATTTGATTATTCATCGCAAGCTCTGCCTCATACGGCTAGTGTAGTAATGGAAAGTGGTGTCATTGAGTCTGAGTATGTATTGGAAACGCCAACACTGTTGGAGCCAAGTCTTGTTGTACTCACAAGCCTTACGAGTGAAAATTTGGTTGAAACTGGAAGAGGTGCAGTCTTAATTGATGTAGTTGCGACCAGTGCTATTGATCCATTGCCCCTCGAAACCGTTCCTGTACTTTCAAGCCCAGAAACTACAGAAATTTCCACCGTACAATCATCTAGTGCAGCGTCTACCTCAACCACATCCACGTCCACCACATCCACGTCCACCACATCCACTTCCACTGCAACCACCACTACAGTGAACAACAACGGGCTATATGGGCCTAACATATGGACATGGCGTGATGACATCTACACCGATGACGCCACAAATCGATATCCAAGAATGTCTTTTGAAGTATTGAGTGTTGAACCTGCTATGAATTCTGTTTGGAAGGTTACTTTTCATATGAAGTCAGCCTATGACCCTGTCGTGGTCTTCCAGCTGCTTGGACCCGATCCAATCACTGTTGACTTAGAGTATTCAAACAATGGTGTACATACATCGTTGAGATTGTACGAAACAGGTGGGCAAACCAACTACAGTAACCCGTTCGACATACAAGCGACTATTTTGGTTGTTCCGTCAGTACATGGAAACCATTTCTGTTTGCCAGATGATTTTGCGTTTACTTACGAAACGGATCCAAGGGAGTCAACGTGGTCGGACGAGTTCTATATTCGCTCCAAATATTTTGTGAATCCCGATTTGCAAGAGTTCAACCTCAACGAGGGAGGTGCTTCCGAAAGTATCACTGATGATGACTTGACTGAGTTAATAGAGCTTGGTCAAATTGTGTCGAACTTTTGTTGGAGGATTCCAGTTTGCTCAGCATCAGAGCTATTTGTGACCTCGTCCACAGAAACACGTCTTTATGCATTTTCAGCTTCTGAACTTTCGTCTCAGACTGTGAGTTTGTTGTCAATTGGGTTTGCTGAAGAGTCTGAATCAAGCACTGAATCAGTCACTGGAGCGACTGCTGGTGTTGTATTTGAGTCATCAACGAAGCCAGGGTCTATGACTTATTCGACAACTTTATTGGCGGAAAATTTGGTAATGAGTGATGCATCAACAAATGAATTCGCATCTGAACCAGGATCAGTATACACGCATGGGTTAGATACTGGAATAAGTGAATTTGTCTCAGTTGCAACAACCACTCAAGCTACGCTGATGGCCACGGCTGAGTCCTCAAATGAGTTGGGAGAAGCTTCAAGTGGTTCAAGTGCTAAGTTAATGATCTCGTTAGGACTTGTGTCTTTGTTTGAAACCATGAGCGATTCAGTATCCAAGCAAGAAACTGTGAGTGAATCATTGGAAGGATTTGGGGCTACGTCTGCAATTATGCCATCTACTCAAACAGAAGCTTTATTTTCAATTGAATCCACTAGTGCGTCTGAGGCAACAAATCTACTGGCAACTGAAACAGAAGGTACATCAACAATCCAGTTACTGGTCGGATTTAGTAATGAACCTAGTTCTGTGTCAGAAGCTGTATTCAGTAGTGAATCAGCTACCGAGTCACAAAACACATCCACCAGCGAATCCACAATCAATCAAGATTCTGGATCCGGTTTGATTGGCGAATCAATTGACGTTTTTGCTACTGGAACTGCTTTTGAATCAACTTATTCCAACACGTCTCTGTCCGCAGGTGCTCTTATTCAATCTACCGAATTTAGAAATGGATCTGAGTTCACAACGGAGTTGCCAACTAGCACATCGATTTACTTCAATTCAAGTTATTCAACTCAGGTCACAACTGGTTTCAGTCTGGAAGTATTTGCCGCACAGTATTTCAATTCAAGCGTTGGCGCCATTATGTCGAGTACTCCGCCCACTATGCTTTCAAATACAGTCAGAACACACGAGTCACTCGGTTTAACCCCAGAACTGCAATACCAGTCAGTTGGCGAGAGAGCATCTATTTCATCAATCATGCAGTCATCGCCCCAATCGCCTACAAGGGCGCCTTTAAACACAGCTAACGGAAATGATAATTTCTCCCCTGTGATATTTTCTACAACAGTTGCAATGACCACATCAACTCAGACTAGCTCGTTTGGAATGGGGTTTTTGTGGAATAGTTCAATTGCGGCAGTTCCTACCACAATCCTGTTCACAAGACAAGAACTGCTTTTGGTAACGATTTCAGAACCGATGGAAGACACGTCGGAGAGTACGAGTTCGTTTACTGACCTCGAGATTAGTTCTATGGGTAGTTTAAATGCTTTTAATGAACCACCTACCGCCACAAGCTCAGATTATGCTACAGAGCTGTCTGATTCCGTTTCGACAACTTTTTCGGGCTCATTGAGCTCATATCTGGTAATAGGAGTTGTACTGGTCACAACTTCAGAATCAATTGAAGCAAATTTTGACTTGGAACAACCAAAAAGTCGCACGACAACTTGGCAGAGGCTGATTGAAAGTAGTGTGACCCCCAACCCAAGCATGGACACCACTCTAGCCGTGTCATTCTCGTTGTCCTATTTGGATGTAGCTACTTCAAACTGGCCGTTACCAACGATTTCAGGAATCAGTGGCTCAAGTTGGAGCAGTGAATTGGACACTATTGAATACGGTTCCAGGTTATCTTCTACAAGTCCAATTGGTGATTTATTATATTCGGTGGAAGCACTTTTACAAACAGCCAGGCCGATTGCCAACTCAAATTCGGTCAATGCGCAATCAAATACGGTGGCGGAATCAGCAGATGATGTATCTTGCACCAATATGTCTGTGAATGAGAATGAGGAGAGTAGAAGTTCAACGGATAATGCGATTACAACACTGGATTTAGGGTCAAGCGAGTCTGTCACATTGGAATACATGTCGCTTATCGACGAACAGATAACAGGTTCATCTTTTTACTACAACATGGAAACCACGACAACCAGGGGCCAGACGTTACCTTCTTCCGACATGGTACTTTCATCGATGGTTCTGAGATATATGAACACTTCAAGTGTGCCTGAGCTTGGCTATGTCGAGGCAGCAATGAGTCCATTGTCGCTATCTGCGCCATTATCCATCAGCGATCGAGGTTCAATTTCTGGAGCAGTCCTTCCGACACAGGATATTCCACAGGCTGAATCGGCTACTTTCTCCAGACAATACTGGTTACCAGAATCCTTGTGGACTTCTGAGGGTTTTGATTTTGCCTCCTTTACCACAATTGCTGGGGTTTCGTATTGGAAGACTGGTGCTCCACCCTTGGTTATCCAAGAATCCACCAGTTTGAGTTTGAACACTCCATTTGCAACGGATGCTGAAGAATCAGTTACTGTCGTTGCTGCTCAAACAAATACTCCTATTGAGCTGCTGGATTTACTTTCGGCATCAATTAATGCAAATTCTGCGAATGTCGCTCCACCATTGTCAGTTGAGCCATTGGAAAGTGAATCACTTGTGGATGTTGTTGCACATGAGTCTGTTGGAAACTATGAGAAGGAAACCGTTGCTCCATATGCAAGTTCCAAGGAACTGCAAGTGAGTGCATCGCACGTCACACCCATGTTTAGCTTATCTCCAAATGGGGGAGAGCAGCATTTACAAAATGGAGAGGGAAAATCAAGTAATGGAGAAACTTCAGATGCAACAGCTGTAATTAACTCGGCGAACAATGAATCATCCCATATTGGAACGGCTAGTGCTGTTTCAGTATCAAGTAGTCACAGTACAGATACAGCAATTTTGACCGATGACAACTCAGATTCCTTAGTGGACATGGATCAACAAATGATTACCCCAAATCAACATACAGAATCACCTAACACTCATTTACAAGATAAGGCTGAAGAACTGACTGAAGAAGAGGCTGAGAATAAAGTTCCTGACTCATCATCATTGCCACAAGGACGTTCTGGTTTGACTACGCTTGACACCATCGGTTCGACTTTAACAAGGACTTTTTCTACTGGATCGTCATCAACCATGATGATATTTGACTATGGGGATGGGGCCACTCATTTGGTACCCAGTATAATGGTGCTACTTCTACTACTAATGTGAATTTGAAAAAAAGGAAGACATAAATTCAATAAGATAGAAACTCCCCCCCAATCTCAACCGGGGTTTTACTTTTCCTATATACATGTGATATTTGTACAATTTAATCGATATTGTTTTATTAGTTTTCGTCACCTTCTTTGGTCTTTACTGGCTCTCTTGTATTTTTAGTTCTTGGCCACATTGAGGGTAATCGAACAACTTGAAACCTGGGTTCAACGCACCGTTCAATAAACCAAGAGCGTAACCGATTCTCAACTAGTGCAGAGATTTTCGGCACGTCTTGCAATTTGGCCCTTGATCCAATTAAAGACTTGACGACAAATTCTAATCGATAATCAGGAGAAAATGAAAACATCAAAGCGGTGCCATTGTCATTGCCACTCTCTTTATTGATATCTTTGCTTTTCTGCTGGTTCTGTTGTTGGACTCCACCACTGCTCTCTTTACTGTGTTTAGAAGTAGAGCTCAGTGCTTCGCTCTTATTGTCTTCAAGATTCTTCAGATCAGCAAATTCTTGATCATTAGTATTGATCAAAGAGACGGTCAAGCACCCAGAAAATCTGACCAACGACACGGCTAGAGATACCGGCAAGACTGCTGTTAATGGGCGTGGATGATTCAACAAAAGTTTGGTGTCGACCCCCAAGGTCAACGTATCCGACAAATCAACATCAATCTTGGCTTCCAATCTACCCGTGTCTTCACTGCTTTGCTTTATACGACAATTGGAAAAAATTGGAAAGTCATCACCGATATCTATTTCAGTTAAGCTGATTTTATCCATAAACTCAGGTAGTTCAGCAGTATCGAGAAAGTCACTTAGTGAATGGTAGATATTGTCAGCTAGCAATGCCTCTGTTCTAAAGTGAGATATGGTCTGAGCTATAAGAACATTAAACCAGTCGAGTGATTCCGGAGCATGATTGTGAACGTCATAATATGTCTTTTCCAATATTGCCGAAACTTTGGCTCGGTTACTCAACAATCGCTCATCTTCAGCTGACGCATCGGCTTCTTCGGGGTTTAGGTACGACTTGCGTCTGTTGTTATTTTGCTTCTTATCTCGTCTCACTATAACGCCGGATGCATCACGTATAACCGTCTTTGTCGGTGTGGTTGACGAATCAGCAAATACAAAAAATTTAATAAATATAATGACAATGAAAACGACACTCAACTGGCCCACAACTAAACCCTGAGTAAAGCTCCAATGGGTGTTTTGCTGATATGGTGGTGGAGGTTGTGCGTTGCTGGGGTATGCCGGGGATTGTAGTTGTTGTTGCTGTTGCTGTTGCTGTTGCTGTTGCAAGATTTCATGTTGATAGCTAAGGAGCTCCTGTTGTAGTTTCAATTGTTCTTGTAACTGTTGTAAAAGTTGTACTTGAGCATCTTCTTTTGATACCTGCGATTGGGTTTTCGGTAGTTCTATAGTTGAAAGGTCTGACGACATATCTGTGGCTTCCAGCGATGGTTCGTCGGACATGGTTCCTTGGTAGTAGGTAAAGATGTATGTTCGCTTTCGATTTCGATTTTGATTTTGATTTTCTTTTTTTGTTTCTTTTTTTGCATTCTTTCTTACCCCAGAGATAACAAGGCTTCTTATCCAATGTTCTTCAATTAATACACAAATCACAATACAAATACAACTATACATTAATGCAAATGCTGGGTTCAAATTACACAGCTGTGCTGATTTATGAGGCAGCTGGTTTGCCCTTTGGAGTCTTCTTTTTTGGTGTGGCCAGTGCAGTTTTAGGAGTACTCAGAGATTTACTCTGCGAGCTCACTTCGGACTTTGGTGTTGTTGAAGATGTATTTTTTGTGACTGGTGCTGATTTGGGGGTTGTTGCTTCCAGAGGAGCCTTTGTGGAACCCAATTTTGGCTTCAAGGGTGTGCTATTGGCACTTGCAGAGCTACCGGCACTGCTGCTTCTGCGTCTAGCTCTTCTCACAGGTCTGATTGTAATCGGTTTGATTTCCTCGTCATCAATCTCGTCAGCATCTTCATCGAACCCATTGTTGTTATCACTATCATCATTTTCCCCTTGTATCCACGAGAATAAAGCCTTACCAGTTTTGTTCAATTCCTTATTAGCATTTCCAATATACTTTGATGCAAAATCGGCCAAGGGACTACCTTTTGTTGGTGATGACTCCTCTTCATCATCAGTGGTCAAATTCAGGCTATCAAACCCATTTCTAAGTCTTTTTTGTCTTGCTGCGTTTTGATGAGTTTCCAAGTACTGCTTCACATTGAATTTACGGCCACGCATAAACTCTCTGATTTCAAAATACAAATCTCTGCTAACATTGTTGATGTTTGTCTTGTTTTTCATCCAATAAGTTCTGAAATCATTGATGTGTTTCTTGAACTCGAGCTCATTCATCTTGAGCCAGCTGACATTCAAATCTTTTCTAGTTGCACCTCTAGCAAAATTCCTCATTAAATACTTGTCGTAATCGCGAATGATCTTGGTGATGATGTCTGATGTTGATATACCATCAGTTCTTTGGGTAGTCAAGAACATGCCTTTCTCCTTTATGGGTTTATAAATATCATCACTATCTGAACTGGCATAGGGTAAATCATCATGAGCAACATAATCAATCCTGTGCTCTTTCAAAAATTCTGGAGTCACACACCAAGGAGCATTGGGTATGACTTCATCAACCCATCTACATTGCTTCAACGTCTCGCACCTTTGCTTATCTGTTAACACAGTTAGACCTTTACGTTTATGGGTTTCAACATCGGATGGAATCCCGCAAACCAACTCAACATTGTCAAAAGCCTTTTTGGCTTGTTCCAATTGTTTCATGTGACCTAAATGGAATAGATCAAAAACGCCATCTGCGTAGACTCTAACGGGTCTACCTTGCGGTGGCAAGTTGAAACCAAACCCTCTTGGTCTATATTTTCTTAATTCGGGTGGAAGTTGTTCGTCTAATTCTTTCTCACGTGCCTCGAATTCCTCCTCTTCCTTTGTTTTGATCTTTCTCCTTTTATGATGAGGTGCCTTACTCGGTTCCTCCCTGTTGTATTCCTCTTCCTCCTCAGAGGCATTCTGTTCACTATCCGATTGGGATTTAGTCGTGTCCGTATCTTCGCTATCTCCTCTCTTTCTCTTGCGTTTGAATAAAGACGATATGGAATCCATGGAAAGGGTCTTTGTTAATGGTGACCCATTCAACTCATTTTCAAGGGCCCTCTTTCTAGTCAATCTCACCATTGTAAAAGTATATAATAAAGCAATTCCTTCTTCAACAAGCCGAAAAGAGCAAAGAGGAAGTAGATCAACTGGATCAAACAGTGAGTACAATTTTTCAAAAAATTGCCGGTTACCCTTTTTTTTGTTATTTGCGCTTCATTGGTTCATACAAAAAAAAAAAAATAAAAAAAATAAATTCTTTAGAGATTGTCGCAAAATTAATAGACACGACATTACTCGCTACGACACACAACCACAATCAGCTTCAATGATATCACGTTATTGATATCAACATCTAATATCCTCAATCACCTTCATCAACTACTAGAGCCCTTCTCGACACTGTACCCAAGCACAGCTGTTTCCCCACAAATGAGCAGCCGTATTCATTCCATTTCAGACTTGAAATTCATCAAACCACCAACTCTATATTCCTGGTTAACTAAGAACGCCTCGCCTCACGGATCCTTAGCCGTAATTGACGTTCGAGAATCGGACTATGTAGGTGGTCACATCAAAGGAAGTTGGCACTATCCAGCAGGAGACTTCTACAACCATTTGCCAGAGATATATGACAAGATATACGCCAACAAGATCCACGATGTCGTGTTCCACTGTATGTTGTCACAAGCCAGAGGCCCTTCCGCAAGTTTGAAATTTTTGCGGTCCATTGACGACATTGTTGACTCGAAAGTGAAACAGTACTTGGAGGATGAGGTTCATGTATATGTATTGAAAGGTGGGTTTAATCGATGGCAAGGCGAGTATGGTAAGGATGCAAGTGTTACCGACGGATATAATGCTGAACTATGGGATGTGGGATTGTAAAGAAGCAAATGCTTTCAAAGATTTGAAGCGTGCAAACTATGCGGTATCACTCAGAGTTTTGCACACTATCCCACTACCCACATTGACTATCAGTGCAAGTTCAACATCTCGTAGTCAAGAGTGTATAATTTTGTATAGCATGTACTAAATTAAATCTATAAATTCTTTTCAACTAGACTTCCCCATCGAATTCGCGCCTTTCATTTGTTTCAACATCTAAATCAAACTATCAACGTTTGGATCAAAAACACGTCGAGCAAAAGGGTTGGTGGATTGATGCTGCAATGGCTGTATTGGCTGCTGTTGCTGTTGCTGTTGCTGTTGCTGCTGTTGTCCAAAGAACACACCTCCTTGTGGCTGGAAATTTTGTTGACCCGTTGCCACGCTAGCAAACGGATTAGTATTTGCCCTCTGTAATCCTTGAGTTGGTTGCAGCTGAGCATATTGCAGTGTGAATTGAGGTTGTTGTTGTTGCAGTTGTTGGACGACAGGCGCCGTTTGTGCCTGTTGGGCTTGTTGCAAAAACGGATTAGTAGTTTGATGTTGCAACGGTAACGGCGTTTGCTGCTGAAACTGGGTTGACGTATGCTGTGGTTGCTGTTGTTGTAAAAAGGGGTTGGTTGTTTGAGGTTGTAACGGTTGCAAAGACTGTTGAAAAGAGCTTGTTTGTTGTGGTTGCAAACTAGTTTGGCTTCCATAGCCACCAAATCCATTCCCTGTGAATGAAGTGTGCATGGGTGATTGGTACGTTTGCCCTTGAAATATTGGGGGTAAGGATGCCCTCGATTGGTGACTAAGTGTGTTTTGTTGTTGTTGTTGTTGTAACTGTTGTTGTTGTAACTGTTGTTGTTGTTGTAACTGTTGTTGCTGAAATGGATCAGCTTGTACTTGTGAATATGCTTGGGCATAAACAGGTACGGCAATGTTACTCCACGGATTATAAGTTTGTTGAACCACCAACGAAGGGTGTCTCTGAACTCCACTTGCGCCACCATTATTAAGAGCTTCTTGTGCTTGCGTTTGTGCTTGCGTTTGTGCTTGCGTTTGTGCTTGTGGTTGTGGCTGTGGCTGTGGCTGTGACGTGGCTCTAGATTCCTCTCTATTACCAAAAACAGGTTTCTTTGAAGCGTTTGCATTTTGCTTACCATTCTTCTCTGCCAAATATTGGTTTCGATTCACTTCAAAATTTGGATCATCCAAATACTCCTCCAAAGAGCTTGTCAACGCGGTTGGTGCATGCTTAATTGTAGGAACGTGCAACTTTGTAGCGTATTCAAGATGCTTTGCAACTCTCAAGTAATCAATAACGTACTTTGTCTGATCAACGAATTTCTTGTAAACTTTCAATGATCTTTCAGCGTCATATCTCGACATTTCGAAATAATGCTCCAATATATTAATCACCCCTTCGTTAAGCTCTTGAAACAATGCCAATAAATCATTAACCAACAATCTGAAGGCAGTAAGGACAACATCATTGTTGATCTCATTCTCCATAAAACTGTTCTTGAGTAATGAATCTATTTGTTTTTGAACACTTTCGGTCTCTCTTAGCAAACCCTTTTCAATGGTCAATGAACGTAATCTCCCACCTTCTTGGGTAGTACTGTTATTCGCTCTTTCGTCTCGTACATAGTCAATGCCCGTAGCATCAAATTGCTTCACCCTTGTGTGTAAGTATTTAGAATACTTCATAATCAATCGAACATCGGCATTGAAATTCCCACTGTTGTTACTGGCAATGTTACTCAGCGATAAGTTCAACATTGAATGGCCCTGGTCTGCCAAATAGCGCAAAGTAACATCTTTGTCTCCTTCTCTTATCATGAGGTGGATAACAATTAGCGACTTATAAACAACCGACCACGAACTATCACGTAGCCTTTGTTGTAAAGTCCTCATAATGGTGTTGAAGTTTTCAGCAGAAACAATTGAGTGGTCAAAAGACGTAGCCATCAATATGGGTTCAATGTATTTGGGTTTCGGAGCAGCCACTTTCACCTTGGTTGCCCCTTTCACTATCTTTTCATAGGTAGTCATCGTGTAAATGAAAGGGAGGCTTGGCCAGTGAGCCGTTGATGCAGAAAATAGGAGACGATGAAACTGACGGTGCAAGTGGTAATGCTAATGGTGGTAGTGACAGCGGTAGCGGTGGCCGTGGTGATGTTATAGGCAATGAATGATAGATCTATAAATGTGCCGGGGATCTTGTCTTGTTATAGAGTATACAATTCCTTGTGTGGGTTTGAAAATGTTGGAAATTATTTTCTGTTGCGTTAAGTATGCTGTCGTCGTCGGCTATGGGGACAAATCTCGGCGTTATTGGTTCAAGATCAACGAGAGATGGTGATGCAGACACCAAATGACCACCATTCCTCCTCTGTATACACAGTCAATACATGTGTTCTTTATACGTTTGAATTACAGCTATTCACAGGGTAAATTTATATATACAAATCTATGTATGTATCATTCATTAGTCATTGTCTTGTTATATTATTTGTCATCGTGTAATACGTTACATCGTTGACTACTTTGCTTTCATTCCGCCTCTTTTCTCCAAACACTCTTTAGCTTCATTCACTTTGGTAGCCAAGTATGACGATCCGCCTTTGTCGGGATGATTAGCCATCATCAATCTTCTATGTTGTTCTTTTAACTTCAACTTACTCAAGTTGGTTTCTTTCAAATTTAAGATTAATAACGCCTCTCTTGGGGTCATTTTGGAGCCAAAACCACCAGTATGGAATGCTTTACCATTAATCCCTGGTTTATTAGATTTAACAAACCCGGCAGCAAAGTAAGCAACTGTTAATGCACCAAATCCAGTTATCCATGGATGATCACCCATCCAGTTGACACCTTGGTCAAAGTACCACTCAACAGACCCCTCTGCGGCTTGTTTCTTTTGGAGTTGACCCGTATAATATGGTTGTTGTGGTTGTTGTTGTTGTTGTTGTTGTTGGCCATTCTCACCGGGTATAGGAAGTATAGGTGCTTGCAAAGGTGCCATTACGTTAGACGGATCTTATAATATTAGCTTATGTGGTATTTCCAAGATATCAAAAGTGGTTAAAGTAAGCCCTGAGTTTATGTTACTTCTCAGTTAGTAGTAGAGCCTTGTTTGACTAAAGATAGAATGGGAGTGATTGGTGGTAGATGTGCTATAAATGAAAATTTATTTCTCAATTCCTGTTTTGTTGACACAAACGCTGCACTTGAGCCAGAAAAGAAGAGACAAAAAAAAAAAAAAATTTCCTTTATCATCATCTCATCTCTTTAACAAAACCATATATTTCTTGAAGTTCCGTATCACTTATAACAGATACAGAGTCAAAGAGACACGGGATTATAGTATCGTCACACGTTCCTTTTATTACGTACAGCTACTCACTTTTACACACACACACACACATACACTCACTCACAGTCTCACAGAAATAAAGCAGTATGAGAGTTTATCAATGTCATTTCTGCTCATCGCCAGTATATCCACTTCATGGAATAACGTTTGTGCGTAACGATGCCAAAGAGTTCAGATTCTGTCGTTCTAAATGCCATAAGGCTTTCAAACAACGTCGTAATCCTCGTAAATTGAGATGGACCAAAGCATTCAGAAAAGCCGCTGGGAAAGAATTGGTGGTTGATTCTACTTTGACATTTGCCGCTAGAAGGAATGTTCCGGTTAGGTATAATAGAGATCTTGTGGCTACTACATTGAAGGGTATGAGTAGGGTAGAAGAGATTAGACAAAAGAGAGAACGTGCATTCTACAAGAATAGAATGAAGGATAATAAAGAAAGAGATTTCGCTTCGGATAAGAAGTTGGTTGAAGAGAATCCAGAGTTGTTGAGATTGAGAGAAGTAGAATTGAGAAGAAAAGCTGAGAAGCAAGCAGCCAAGGAGAACGCTATGGAAGAGGAAGAAGTTGATGTGGAAGAAGAGGGAGAGGAAGATGAAGAGATGGTTAGTGAAGATGAAGAAATGGAAAGTGAAAGTGAGAGTGAAAGCGAAAGTGAAAAAGAGTCTGAAAAGGTTAAACAAAAGGTATTGTTGAAGAACAAGAGAAAGACAAGAAGATGAGTGTGGTTGAGTTGCAAGAAAACTTCATTTGTTTCCAATCTTTTACTTCTATAATGTGTGTATATTCTTGAAAGCATCATCTATTTTTCAACAACTTCCCCTTTATGACAAATCGAATCCAGATTCAGTATTTATAGCATAAAGTAACTTTTCCCTCATAATCTGCTTATCTTGATAGTCAGGTAACTTCAACAAGTTCACGCATGTTGAAGCTGTAGGTAGTCTAGTCACATCTCTGCCTGAATTCCGTATACCAAACTTGGGATTCAATACCGAGAATCCAAGTAATGGGGCTCGACTCACTGAAGTGACGAATTTGATCAATTTCGACTTCTCTTGTGGCGTCATCTCATCGACAATTTCCCAAAACTGTTGAATACTGACATCATCTGGCAAGTATCCTCCATATTCGACATTCTCTTGCCAATCATTAACATCAACATCTTTCTTACCTCCCGATATCAACATCTGTAACTCATAATAATCAAAAATCATAAACCATTTACGGGGAATGATTGTGAATAACCCAGACAAAAATGCCTTGGTTTGTGGTAGGAGCAATTGATTCAACTTGAAATCTGCAAACTTGTGAAGGTAGTACTGAACATTTGATTTATCAACTTTGAGCAGTCGACCATTTGGTATCAATTCAAAATTGACAGTTTCATCATCAACTTTCTCATCAATGGCAAAAACCAAGTCTATATGCTGCAACTCTTCCAGAGACATGTTTGATAACTTGATCAAATTTTTAAACAATTCTCCATCGAGATAACTCAAATCGTTGATGGTATTCTTGAAACCATCCATGCACCACTTGTTGATAAAAAACGGAGCGAACGATACATCGATCAAGACATTTTCATACAAACATTTCCCCACACACATTCCCATAAACTGTATGTATTCTAGTTTGCCCCTAGCATCATAAACATCCTGTCCCAATTTCATCTTGATACAAATTTCCTCATTGGGGTATATTTGGTTGTCACGTGTCTCCTTGAAAAGTCCTTGAGCAGGATCAAATCCTTCTTTAACCACACTGGTTAAAAACTCCTTTGTTATACCCCCTCCATCGATCCCCGCTTCTGGCCCATATTCATTGAAGAACTCCACTTGAATTCGATTCTTGAACAGATTTCCCATTTTACTAAATGCCTCAAATGCATCTTGAAGTAGATTTTGTCGTCTAATTTCCGCCTTGACTCTAGGCTCCATAAACCCCCAATATGGTGAGCTGCTTTGGCTGTCAATTTCAACCAATTGCTGAAAAATCCTAACTCGATCATTGAAGGGAATAAAGTACGGTACATGCTTCAACAAAATGAGCATTTCTCGATAAGTGTTTGGTATACTTTGTAAAAAGGCTTCCCGCTCTCTATTGTCATCATCGTCATCAGCCCCAACCAGATCTTCCATAAAATCCTGAATCACATAACTAAGTAATTTATCAAAATTATAACTGCGTTGCTTCACTAGCCAAAAATCTGGAGGGAGAAACTTTAATCGCAAATTCTTCAAATACAACTGATCAACCAAAGTGAATGTCTTTTGGCGGAGATATTTCGTACCCAAGTCCGCTTTCATTGCCAAGCAAGAGCATAATGGCTTCAAGAATTTACAAAACTCCTTCACCACCTCCTCGTCTATTCCTGTCTTCTTGAATGACTCAGTATCATTAGATACTATAAGCCAATAGGAATAAACCTCTTCGAAAAACAACAATCCATTGTAAAAATCACCTGAAAGAAAAGCCTCCTCGACTTTCTCAAACGAGCGACCAGATAGCTCTCCAGCTTGCTTGAGAAAATGCGCACAGGTTTTGAAAATGTTTGTTGGGTCTATGCATATTTGATTCAAAACTGACTGCTTCCATGATGGCTGCAAAGCAATGAGCTTCGAAAGAATTTCATAAGATATAGTATTGTTCTGTTGTCCTGATTTCAAAACATTTTGAAGAAAACCGGGTGCATACAAGGACTTTAACACTTCAATTTTGGCAGTCGGGAGTACCACTGCACTCATTCCTCTATCCTTCATTTGCTGCGATTCGCTTTCATCGGGATAGTTCTCCAATACCATGGATTGGCTGTACTTAAGCAAAACGTGTACCAATTGCAAGTCTTGCATCGTGAAGACTGCATTCTCGTGGATAATTAAAAAGTTAACCAACATGTATAGTAGTCTATCCTTGGCGGCATCGTTTTCCTTCAAGTATTTGTCAATTTCACTCTGCTTCTTTGAGGCAAATTCACGCAATACTTTCAAGTAAAACTCATTGGGGCCAGTGTAAACATCACAAGCAAGGATATTAAGCATGGAAGGCTCAAATGAGGAGCGGTTGGTATTCAATAATGACTGTTCCACAGTGTAAGCAAAGTTGAGGATGTCCACAATCTCTTCAGAGTGGCCCTCATTATATAACTCCAGCTGTAGGTATTGGCCAAGCTGTGCCAACAAAAATGCAGATGTATAGTGATACTTTCCATGCAATGCTCTGATGATACTCATCCATTGTCTTTTGATTTGTCTCTCCACTTTGGTTTGCGAAAGGCAACCAGATACGAATTGGCCAAGGTAAAACAATGCCGCTGCATGCTCACTCAGTAGATTTGACCATTTTGTTTCCAACTCGCTATTCAACTTTGACACAATCTCACTCAATTCCTCTTGGTCTGATTCACCTCTGCGTCCAAACCAGTGTGTCAACGTCACAAATTGAGATACAAAACCCCAGAGATCAACTTCCAGTGTATCAGAATCAAGCCAATCTCGAAGTAGTTTCCCAACCTCCTCCTTCTGTTGTAAGTACAGTCTGATAGCTCGTTGTATCGTAATTGCGGCGTTCTCTCGAATACGCTGTTGCTCCCGTTCTTCTCGCTCCTTACGTGATTGTTCTAGAAATGCATTGGTGCCAAATCCGCCAAATCCAGTTCGTTTCTTATCTCCCAAGTTGACATTACGTCTCTTTGTATCCCCAGTGAAGTTAAACATATCATAAGATAAGGAAGGGGTGGACGGGGTGTGAGGTGTATAAACTATGAGTGTGGTGTTGTGGATAAGATGAATCGAAAGTTGTGGCAAAAGGTTTACAGAAAATTCAAGGAAATTTTTATGCGCGCAAATCAATAAATAGCAAAGTCTTATCTACACAATCTATCAATCTATTTATAGTCTAATCCTTCTGGGGTTCCAACAACTGAACAAGGTATCCAATCGACTCAGCAAAATACAGAGGCACTAAATCCTTTTCACTGCTTGCCTTATCAACCAATCTCTGCAAATCTGTCAATCTAGTTCCACCAGAAAGCACCAACAAACTTCCACGTCCATCGCCCAAATTGCCGTCATTACCAAACTTGACATCAGTATACAAAGTATCACCAATCATCAAAGTTCTGTCTCTATCAAACCGTTTATCTTGTAATATAATGTCTAAAAATTGTGTGCTTGGTTTACCAACATTGATATAATCCCGATCTGCAGTGTACGCCATATAATCGACCACACTGCCACCAGCAGGCAAAGTCAATCCCTTGGGACCAGGATACGTGCGGTCAATATTGCATCCAATAAAAGGAATACTCTTTCCCTCGTGTAACAAATATTGTAAAGTCAGGGCTATTCTCATGTAATTAAACTCTTTGGTGGATCCAACTACAACCGCCTTCACTTCAGGGTCAACTTCCAAAATTGGACTATCCAAGTCTAAATGATCCAACTTGTGGTCGTTGCAGCCTAGGGTGACGTACCCCATTTCTTGCAATTCTTCCTCGATTCCATGTTCACCCAATATCCAGATTTTTGACCCCAAGGGCACTTTCAACTGATCTCTAACTTCCAACGCAGCTGAATAACACGTTGGATATAGCATGTCCTTTGTGATGCTAGGAATACCCAATTTGGTAAACTTTTTCAAGTATGTGTTTCGTGAATTCGATGAGTTGTTGGTGACAAATGCAAACTTCTTGTTGTTGTCAACGAGTAATTGAATAAATTCAGCAGCGCCAGGGATCAAGCTGTCTCCTAGCCAGATTACTCCATCACAGTCAAAGAGAAAATTGTCATATCGACTGAGTAGTTGCTGTAACGCTTCGTTGGATGAAATGTGTATGGGATTCGTCTTTTTAGTCATTGTCGTTCATCCTTTCATGCGTCATTAGTCACACGACATATTTTTTCGAGAGATTTTAAAGCCTGATGTACATACGAAATCCATATCTACACAGTAAAATCTTAGGTCCCCCGGGATTCTTATTTCTCATCCACACGATCCAAATCTATGTCACCCTCCTGGCTGTGTCGATATTTTTCCGGCAAATACAATTGATCATACTTTTGCATCCTTTTCTTCCACCATTTTCTTGAATCTTTCCGGTTAATCTCCTCCAAGTACAAGTCATCCTCATCCACATGATCCTCTTCTACTCCATTCTTTTCACCCCCATTACTCGAATCCATTTCATTTGCTGCCTCCTCGTTAAACTCTTCAAAATCTCCATGCAAATCAGCTTCTTTGGCAGATTTGAGCATGGTCATGGTCACTTCATCACCATTAATACCTTGCACCAAGTACCTACTACCTAAATTCAAATCCTTCAATACAATCTCTCTTGTTCTTCCTAGTGATTCAATATCACCAACTCTGTCAATAGTGTCCTGCAATAACTCGTCGAAATGAGGTTGAGAAGCAATCTCATGGAATGCCCGCATCATGGGCACGGAATCTGCACGAACACGAGACTCGGAATCTATGGTGAAGATATTTGCGTTGTCATATCGTTGAATATAATCTGCTCGTGTCATGACTTGACGAGCTCGCCAAAGAGGCAATTCAGGTAAGTGGTGGTCAGTAAATTCGGAAGATTTTTGATTTGTTATTAATGTATTCATTCGATTCCGATCCATTTCAACAAATTCTCTCATTAGGAGCATAGCACTGGTTGAAAACTTACCACTTTCCATCACATCATCGTCCATATCCAGGCCTAGTAATCCACATTGGTTGAGAAACCACGTCTTTTCTCGATCAATTATCTCATGGCATGCTTTAATTATATCGTTGTGACGAGCGACTTGAGTGATGTGTTGAGGACGACCACCAATCAAGTCATAGACTGCATTGCACATGTCATCTTTCAACACTTTATCCAGTGGGAAATAGCGATGACGGATAAATTTGAGGGCATTAACGGTCTCGTCTCTATTGAAATCACGAACATTGATCAATTCCAATCTAGTTCCTAGCTGTTTGAGCTTCTCATAAACCCAATAATCATCACTATTGAATATCATTGTAAGCAATCCCAGTCCGCTTAGTGATTCAGCTTTTTGCTGCAACAACTCCAACAATTTTATTCCTTCTTCATTCTCTTTAATCAAGTGGGCATTGTTGATAATCATAATCAATGGACGCTTGATCTGGTTGACTCGTTGTATTGCCAACTCTTCCAATTTTTCAAACGCTCGCTCAATATCCAATAGAGCAGTGGTATCTCTAGGGCCCCTTATTGAAAACAATGAGCCAATGTAATCCTCATTGAAAGTGAAGTTCAATGCTTTCCCCAACCGAATTCGGAAAATTTCCGGGTCAGCGTGTGCGTCAAATATCGTTACATTATACCCACCAACTTTTTTCATGGCCTCCATTATTAATGAAGTTTTACCCGTCCCCTTCTCTCCAATAATTAAAAAGTAACGTCCAATAATCTTGCCCGCAATGATTTCATCAATCAATTTTTGCTGTGGTCTTTCCACCCAATGGGCATTGATAAAATGCTCGTTGCTGTCATCGTGGGTCCTTGTATGCATCTTTATCTGTGCAGAGGGGTCACCTTTCTCGAATGCCTGGTTCATTTTGGATAATACATGTTCATTGTAAAATCGATGATACAAGAACCCAGCCAAACCCAATACCCCGACTGATGAGATTGTAATTCCAATAGTTTCAAGACATTTTGTAATGAATGATTTGAATCGTTCAAACGTGGACTCTTTGTCATTGTTGTTGTTACTATTCCCTTTCCCTTTGTTGTCTTTACCATCGTCATCTTCTTTTAGTTCCTCAACAAATTGCTCTACCAATGGGTTGAATCTCAAAGGTCGAGTAGTACGCAATTGCCGATGGATGCAGTAAGTCGGCATTCGATTACATCGACTAGTTCGTATATTTCGTGCGACTATACTAAGCATTGGTTGGTGTGGGAAGTTTATCTTGGTGACGTTTGCTGATGGATGAAATTTTCAAATTCTGAAATTTACGGCTGTATCAAATCTGCACAAAAGGCTATTTTCGGGGACTCGTTGTCCAAGAAATTGACTAATTTGAAATTGACAATGTGTGAGCTAGTTAGCATTTATGGATGCCAGTGATCTACTTGGTGTGGCAGAGTTAAAGACTAATACTCAATTCATAACGCCTACTTTTGAGAGATTGTAAACTGGGCAACGTTATGGGGTTGAGTTAAACAGTGCTCGCATCTGGTGGCTCAAGTATACAAGCTTACACTATGAAGACGACCACTATGTATGTATACAAACCAAGGGGTAATAAAATACCGGACGGATCTCATACTACAATAACATTTTGGACGTTAAAGAAACCTCCTTCGAAATTCAGCGATTGTGAGCACTGCATTTCCTTCATAGTTTGGTTGCACCAGTTGTCATAACTTTACTTAACGTATTCATAATCTCAGTCTCCACACTGCCTCTAATCACCAATAAGGTTGTTGGAAATATGTGCATTTGTTTTCTTCAAGTTTATCAGTCTCATGATCGGTTTCATCCATCAACATATCGCTCTTTGTACTAGTATTTTCTTGCTGCTGTTGTTGTCGCTGTAGATGCAACTGTGCATCCATCATCATTCGTATCGTCTTTTGGTGTACTTCAGAATGTATCTTTCTCAATTGCACTCTTTTAGCAACTGGTGAAGACTGTGCGATGGAGTATTGGACACCCAAGTGCTCGTGGGTGTTATATTTTAGTGGAGATGAATTTAGTGGATTTGGAGTTGATGAGGACGTGCATGAGGAAGATGGGGTTGGTGACGAGGAACTTGGATCAAAGCTAAATTGCGAGGTGTCTTCTTCAAATTGTCTTTTCCGGCTCATTTGGGATTCAATGTGGCTCAATTGGAGTGGCTAAGCTATATCAAATGGAGGTTGTGGCCCATGGTGAGCACCACACCTACTCGTAATTTCGACTTCTTTTTTTTTTTTTTTGTCGCGTACAGTGACGCGAAAATCGTGTTTTGTATAAATGCTGAGTACGGCAACGACCATTCAGGATCTTTTGCCAATGGTCCTTGCACTTGAAAAGTTCACGAAATGCTGTGACTTTGAAACTATTTTCCTCATTTTGGGGGACTAATTTGTAGAGAACTATCTATTACACCACCTTCATGTTGTTTCACCTAGACTTGTCTCGTATTCGTTGTATTGGTTAGAGAGTTGCGATCTTTGGCGCGTACTTCACTTACGACAATGAGATTGCCACTAATGATATTCAGTTGCTTTTCTATTGGTCTTTGATTTGCAATGCATCAGATTGATTCAGTGTCCCGTTTGTAATTAGCTATGTCCTCTGAAGTCACATGGTGGAGTTATGGGCTCTTAACAAGTGTTGCTTGCTTGTAAGACGTGCTATATGCACCTCGTTTCCTCTTTTAACAGTAGCCCCACATCATGCTCCTTTCTTCCCTACTAATTTTTTCTTTGATACAATTCAAAATCACACAGTCGTCAAATTCTTTGCTGTCCCACACTGTCCGAACATACCTATACTGAATGGTTTCAAAGTACAGCTTGCTAATCCTCACTTGTATATGAAGATCAAAAGACTTTGGTGTTACTAGTCTTGGGATATTCACAAAATCCAAAACTCCAAAGCTCAAGCTCAAGTGAGAGAGTTTAGGCATCAGCAGAAGCAATTTTTTCAAGTTGGGTATTCGCGAAGTTGGTGCAAAATAGTCCAAAGTAAACTCCTTGACTTGTGCCATTGTGAACACTTCGGTAATCCACTCGGTAGGAAAGTCTAAAAATGCGTCGTTATTATCGTTGTTGTTTTCCCGTGTTGTAGCTGGAGAGAGAAGGTCGTGGTGGTTTCGCCTCCACCTATAACCCTTCCCTGGACCGTCCATTTCCAAATAAATCAGCAAGGACTCCGGCCCTAGATGAGCCTGTGATGATTCTTTGGCCACATTGTGCTTAAATTCAAGAAATTGGTTTACAGTGAAGTTCAACTCTAATGAACGGATCAATGCACACAACTTTTGCTGACCTGTTGGCGGAGCCCAGCATTGGAGCATAGTAGGAACAAATTTGTTGGAAAACCTTTGAAGTGCAGAAGCAACGTTTAGGTCAATAAACGAAGAAGGGTGTGAGAAGGAAACTTGCTGGAAAGTCAAATCACACACTTTCCACATCAAGGAAGGCATGGCCAAAAATAAATGATACTCCTTTGTGCCTGTCCACACCCATACAGCATTGGCGAACCCCACATACCTGAACAAAAGATCTTGAACCAAGTCAAAGTTGAAGACGACATGCTCTCCCTCTCGTCTCTCTTGATGCCCGGGGGTGTGATTAAATGGATGACCAAAATCGACGTAAATTTTAAAGTAAAACTTTACATTTATCTCTCGGCTATATTCCCAGCCATTGGAAAAATTGCCGGTATCAACAAGTCGAGTCAGTTCAGGGACACTTACAATCTTGAATGTCCTTTTCCCGTTGGATATTTTTTGTGCCAAACCTAAGCCTACCCCTTTCTCAGCCAACATCTTCAAACATTGTCTCTGCGGTAGCAAATTGAGCCAGGGGAAAAGAACGGTATCGGGTAGGTCAAGTAGGTGCTCATCAATAGGGAGAGTCCTTGCAATTATCTCAAATGGTAAATCAGAGAGCTTCATTCTACTCAGTGAACAAAAACTGTTTTGCTAAGGGTAAGCGATGCGTATTTTGAAGCACTCACACACTGAATATAGGATGAGGAAAGTGGTGAGCATTTATGACACAAAAACAAGTCACACATACCATTTTTTGCAACTCTGGATACATAATAATTTCGTGATGGGATAAAAAGATAGTTTCAGAATACCAAGTAAATCGCACAGCTGCTTCTTATCTTCAAAAACAAATTTGGCTTATTTGCATGCCAAGAGAAGTTCTACTCGGTTTCCATAAATCTTTTGTGACAAACCTCTTTCAACGATATTTACCCCCATCTAACTTATCAAATACATGCTACAATTACATCATATTACAGTTGTGTTTACTCGTTAAATACTTTATCAAGCTTCCACTGGCACAGCCACTATACTGAACATAACTAAAACTGACCATATCCACTACACATAAAGAAATACCCATCGTTTGACCAGTATTGCAACAGTTACAAGTGTTCATTTATACACACCACCATTTACAAGTAATCGATAAGACACACACCACTACTTTCCACCCAGACTAAGTTAACAATTTTCCAAATCCTCAAGAAACTTTTAGGGTCAACAAAAACTTTGGTTCACAGTCTAGTGAATACGCAAGGAAAGGCGGTTGCCACTAAAGTATTTTGCCTAAGCATCTTTCTATTGTACATTTTGATTGCAGTGTTTATTCAGTTGATTCGATTGAAGAGAAGGGACATTACGGAGAGACAACGTGAATATCGCAGTTCACATCAAAGAGAAGAATAGACTTCAACGAGAATGGGCCTGCAGCTTTACGATCAGAGCCAGTAGAATGTTTAATATTATGAGAAACAGAAATCAAAGCACTGGTGGTGACCCACAACAGGCACATACCCAGGAATTGGATCTGCTCGATGGACGTGGCAGTTTGCAGCAAAGAGACGCCAGGTCAAATTCTCAACCCACCTCAGAGACGGCCCCCCAGCGAGACAAATCTTGGAGCAAATAATGAGACTGACCCTACAACTACACGAAATCATCAAATTTTGGCCAGCCCCTGCAGAGTCTATTGAAAACGCCAACTCATCGGGAAGAACGTATTGGCATTATGCCTAACACCATCATTATTTTTCATATGTAAATTCGTGCTCTGTAAATGTACTGTTTTGATCTTGTTTGACTTTCTGTGAGCGCCGCGCACTTTACCTAATCTAGTAACATACGATAGAAAAGCAAAAAAGATTTCTGAAGATGGGTCGGTCGGTCCCCCCATCACTGCAGACTCCTTTTGCTGTAGCTGCCCTCACACCTACTACAATATAGTCAAATCAATCCATCCACTAAAGATAAAAATGGCTAATCGAATTGAAGGCAAACATATCAAGCACAGTGCTCAAACCAAACGCCTTACAGAAACTCAATTCAACTCTACGTTTCTTGTCAAATCATCAACTCCATTCATATCAGCCGTCAAACGGATTGACAAGCAATTAACAAAATTCTCTAAGCTGCAAGGAACGCAACGTAAATTCCAAAATGATCAATACAAGAAAGTGAAATACCTAATTGTGAAAGGGATGGGCAAAACGATTGAAAAGACATTGAAATTGGCTATGCATTTTCAACTGCAAGGGTACAAAGTTGACATATTAACTGGAAGCGTGCAAGTTTTGGATGAATTTGAAAAGGAGGCTTATATCAGTAGTGATGGTGAAGATGGTTCAAGATTTGGGCATGCTGACATTGAGACCAAGTATAAGAAACGGATGGTTAGCTCGGTTGAAGCGAAAATTTGGTTGCAGAGAGAGTAAATGTTGGGATGAGCTGTCTTCTTGGCAAGCAGAAGTTATGAGGCTGCACCACCAAATCATTCATACTTGACCCAGTGTATGTTATGATCTATTTGGATATGCATATGAAGGAAGCGGTTCCCTGGTTATTTGTCTCAATCGTACTGGGATAATAATTGACAAGCTCGAAGCTTTCTGTATCGGTATCTGGTGTCTACCTTCAACACAAGTGCAAGTGCACAAGTGTAATAGAGATTTATCACGTGTGCATCACGTGTGTTGGGTAATAAGGAATAATGCAATCTGCTCTTTTTTATGTAGTACTATTTTTTTAGCCACTATGTTTATCTATATTCGGGTATGTGTACTACAATTGTCATGACTTGACTGTTGTAAATTTGTAGAGCTCCTGCATTGTCACGTTGTGTGTATTTATATGAAAATGGCTGGCTTGATTTTTTGTTACTGGTTTGTCGCAAAAATAATTGTTGAGAAAATTGGGTCTTTTAGAGACATAAAAAAGGTCCGTGTAGAGCTTCAAAATAGAGAACCTTAAATTGCTTTACATGGCCAACCTGCCTATAGACTGAAAAAGCAGACGTAAGGCTCCCGCTCCATGATGTTCTCTTTCTCTGAATTTGTGTGGTGGTTTATGGTAGCGTGATGTGCGTCCCCTCTCTTGTTATTAAATAGGAAATTGTATATGCGTATATAGTAATATGTTGACATTTTGGTAGTATACACACGACTGCAATTTTTGTTTGCTGCGTTAATTTTAGTTTTTCTGTTCCAAAGTACACTACCACGTATAATTATCACCATACAAAGAATAAAAACTCTGAGGCCTATATATATTTTATACAACAACAAATTCCTCATACAAAATTTTTTATACCACTCTTTTTTATTACTACCATAGTATAATCCACACACACATTAAGTGATTAATAGTATGTATTACACTCCTACACACATATAAGAAAACACAAACAAAAATAAAAGGTGAGAGAAACATAAAGTAAGGATATGACCATTGAGCATCCAACAGTCACAGCACAACATAGCGTCGATGACGGATGGCACAATTGGTTGAGAGAAAAGTGATATCAGGTGGACGACCAACACCCACCCACGTTTTTACATTCAAACAACCACCACCACAACTACAGTCCCCATAGAGTTACCAAGGTGGTTGCAAAAAAAAAAAAATAAAACATCAAAAAGTAGAGAGGACAAGTCACAGACGAGCTTTCACACACGCAAACAAGAGCAATTGGATGGAAAGCAGGTCAATATATGGTTTGGGAATTGGGTTCAGAGTTGTCGATTTTACTACATTTTCAACAAAAATTTTTTGGCTGTGTTTCTCCCAAAAGTGGGAAAATCGAAATTGAGAGAAATTTTGAGGGATACCTTTTTGTCACTTGGTACACTACTCAAAAAAAAGACACACACGCACACAAATGCACACACGCACATACGCACACATTTTTTTTTGAAGCATTTTACACTACCTCCAACAGAAAAACAAAAAGATCTACAATCACTGTACACAGAGAACAGCAAAGACGCGCTCTAAAGAAATTGCGAAATTTCGCGTCCAGGAAGAAGAAGAAGAAGAAGAAGAAGAGGAATAATATTTTGTGTTTGCTTTGCTTTGTTTGTGATAATTTCAGTGTTTGCTTGTTTGTTTGTTGTGACTTTGTTCTATTATGTGTGAGACACAGTGCCAACCATCAAATTATTTATAAAGTATGGAACTTGTTCTATCACCTTCACCCTTTTTTTTGTTTAATTTTTGTTTCTGCCAATTTCTTGTTTTCCTTTTCCTATTTGAAATACTAACAAATATCCCTCCCCATTTCCATAGGTCTATATTTGAAAATGTCAGCTCCAGGTGAAAAGAGAAAAGTTTCCAGAAAGAAGAAGGATCCAGATGCTCCAAAGAGATCTTTGTCTGCTTACATGTTTTTCGCTAACGAAAACAGAGACATTGTGAGAGCAGAAAACCCAGGTATCTCATTTGGTCAAGTTGGTAAGGCTCTTGGTGACAAATGGAAGGCTTTGAGTGCTGAGGACAAGGTTCCATACGAAAACAAGGCTGAAGCTGATAAAAAGAGATATGAGAAGGAAAAAGCCGAGTATGCAAAAAAAAACTCCAATTAGAAAAAAATAAGACACAAAATCAAAAATTGCAACAACAGCCTGCACCTGTACCTCAACAACCATCTTCAATTCCAACACAACCGCAACAATTGCCACCCCAATTCCATCCTCAAGGTCAACTTCCCCCTCAACAACAACAACAGTATCAGCCGGTGCCACCACAATACCAGTACCCTTACCAGTATCAGTACCAAAACCCATCATCTCTCGCATCTCACCCCCAACAACCACCAAATCCTGCCAATGCGCAATATCAACAGAATCCTAACCAATATGCTCAACAGCCGCAACAACAACAACAACAACAAAACCCGAACCCAGCTGGTCAACAACCACAACAACAACAGAATCCAAATGAATACTATGATTACTCATTTCAAAAGGAGTATTGGATGCAATAGGGAAACCCATTGTTCCATTCTGCTGATTGTGTTGCCTCGTTGATTAACAACGTGCTTTTTTTTTTTTTATGTTTTCGTTGTTTTTGTTTTCATTGTGTTAACGTTTTAGAGTATGACTGGTGGATTCAATTTACAATTGTTGATTGTGTGCTACAGCTACTGCTGCTACTCGTGAGCAAACCTTACACTCACCCCCACCCATCATCCTTGAGATTATTTTACCACCATCACCACCAATTTAAATACATCAATTGTTTGCAGTTGTTTGTCTTAACCTACATCTTTATCAATTTTTTCATTGTTACAGTCTTATTTTTTTCTTATTCAATTGTTTTAATGCTTGCTGCTGTTGCTTTCTACTTTCTACTGTTTTTTTTTTTATTATTGTTATTTTTATCTACTATTAGCTTTATCTTTATCTTTATCTGTATCTGCTTTTTGATTACATTTGTTTTTTATTACTGTTTGAGTTTAGTCTTTTATCGAAGTCGTCGCTTAGCTGAACGTAGTAGTTGAGATGTATCAATTGCTCTTGTTTGACAGTTATGGCCCCATTTCAGTCCCTGTTTGTTTGTTTGTTTGTTTGTTTGTTTGTTTGTGAGGTTGAGGTTGGTGGAACAACGAATGATACCTCATACTTTCCTCTTGGCGTACACATGCATCGAGACGACTATGTAATACAACAGACATCTGTTTGTTGCCAAGATATAGTTTCTAGGTTGGCCCCAAATGGCAAAATACTCGACAAATAACTTTTGAGAAGGAGTGCTAGTTGCAAATTACGTCAGTTTTGCCATGCTCACGAAATTTCATCCGCACCGGATTTTTTTTTTTCAACAAATTACAACAACTGCTTTGCTTCTCTTTTGCATCTACACAACCCACCCTTGAGCAATGTCTACCTCCTCTTCATTACCACCTCCTTACTACAACGACGACAGGAAGTCATTCGCGTTCCCCACAGTGCACAAGCGTTGGCCAACAATTATCCAACAGGGGATTGACGATGTACAACAAACAATCAATGAAAACAAAGCCAAGGTGTCTGAGTCAGGAACAGTAATTGTCAACCAATTGAAGCAGTTGTTGGACGATTTCAAAAGTGATGCTACGGTGCGTCAATTCACTGACAAAGAAATTCAACAAAATAAGTGGTTACAACATTACAATTCGACTCTTGACTCATTAAATAAAGTTCGGAAAGTTACTTGGCAAACTGGACCATGGTTATACTTGGAATGTTACTTGTACCAATTCATACATAACTTCTTTATCTTGAGCAACGACTCATTTTGGCACTCATATGATATTTTTGCCAAATTAAAGACCAAAACTTTCAACCAATCCGAGGTGGGAGTATTGGAATTATGCAAGAGATACCAGTTATTAAGTCAAGAATTGGAAAAGGGTAAAGCAGATAAAGAGGCGTTGAAGTTGCTCTTCACTGAATTTATTGATATTTCACTCTGGGGCAATGCCACCGACTTGTCGTTATTAGCAGGGAATGTCACTTTGGAGGATATAAAGTCAGTCCAGGGTGCCGAAGTGCGTAAGAAGAATGAAGAGAAAATCCTCGTTAATGATTTATCAACAGCTTGGGATGAATCTGGATTGAATCAAGGAAATGTGTCGCGAATTGATATTGTTTTGGATAATTCTGGGTTTGAGACTTTTGCTGATTTGATGCTCAGTTTATTCCTTTTGGACCTGGGGTTGACCCAGCTGGTTCATTTGCATTGTAAGGAGATTCCTTGGTTTGTTAGTGATACGATGCCCAAGGACTTTGATGATTTGATTGCTCAATTGAAGGATTCTTCATTCTTCCCACAAATCCATAACCAAGATCCCCAAGCTATAGAGCTTGTATCGTCCAAGATTGAGTCGTATTATAAATCAAACAAACTTGTTGTTCAGCATCACCCTTTTTGGACTTTGGATTACAATTACTGGTCGATCCCAGAGTTCAAAGATTTGTACAGTGACTTGTGTCAATCGCAGTTGATTATATTTAAAGGTGATTTGAATTATAGGAAATTGACTGGTGATTTGCAATGGCCCAAGACGACATCGTTTGCAACTGCAATTCAACAGTTGGCAACTAGTGGATTGCCAATCTTGTCATTGCGTACTTGTAAAGCAGATGTTGTTGTTGGGTTGCCCGAAGGAGTGAATGAAAAATTGATAAAGGAATACAAGGACGCTGGTAATGAAGTGGGAGAGTTTTGGTCGAGCTCAGGTAAATGGGCAGTAATCTCATTCAACAAATAAAGGGTTGGCTTATATAGAGTAGAAGATTGATATTTTTTCCTTTTTTTGTGCATTTATTCAACAGAGATACAGGATACAAATGATGATATGTAGTAAAGACATTCCCCCCAAACACACACACACGCTCTCACCATCACATTCTTCTATGGCTCACCTGCTTTTCTCGCATTACAAGCCACAATCTTGAACTTATCCACATGGAGTTCCAAATCACCATCGCCACCACTGCCACTACCACTCGACCCAGAACCAGACCCACTCAAGTCCGTCATCTTCACCAACACATTCTTGATGATAAACGTCCAAACATCATCACAGAATCGATACGTGTCCAAGTCACCCTTGAATGTCAACTTCAGCTTTGCTATATTCAGCTCATTCTTCAAGTTCTCAGCGATTATTCGATCGAAATTGTTCAAGATCCTGTTGGCCAATTGCGGTTGGATTTTCTCGTCAGAGATTAATGTGTCAAGAGCATCTGCTAGAGTTACTCCTATGGTAGATCTCCGATATAGTTCGTAGTACGCTGGTGTGCTCATTTTGCCCCTCCCTCTATGTGTTCTTTTGTGTGCCTTGGATATGTAGCAAGGCTCACGACTGTTGCCCTGTTGTTGATGTGGGATGTGGGATGTGGGATGTGGAAGTGGCGTATGGCTAGTTCAATTTCGCAAAGTGAGTTTTTTATTTCTTCTGTCTCTCTGTCGTAAAAAAGTTTTTTTGACAATGAAAACACGACACTGAATTATGTCATTTACAAATATACATTCCCCTTCACCCGTCGACCATCAACACCGCCTTGGGCTTTCTACCAAGCTCTCAATACATAATGTATGTAATTTGAGTTGTCGCGTGTTGTGGTAGTAAAAAAGTCCTTGACTGCAAGTGATCGTACTGCAAACGCTGCCCCCTTGCAAATCGTGGCGACAACAGGAAATTTGAAACATAAAGAGGGGACTGCTTGAAACCAACTTCACTATGACTATAGATTTACACATGCATAGTTTCTTTCGACTATGGAGATTGCTTAATTTAACTTAGGGGTCTAATGTTTTCTGAGTGCAATTACTACACGCACGTGCTTGCTTCTTTTTCCTTTCAATCGGATCGAAGTCAAAGGCGGAAAAAAAGAAAAAAAAGAGGAGACCGCCGGAGATCAATGACCAAATGGAATCACATTCACAGTATATTACTATACTAGAGCGATTGAGCTAGATATATTCTTCCTACTTGATCAATACGGACCAATTACAAAGCATAAATGGAGGGAGCATGTCTGTGTGTGTGTGTGTGTGGGGCATTGAGAGCGGCCGAGTAGTTAAAGTTGCTTTGCAACTGTGACAATAACCAATGACACAAAAACAGTAACCCACACAGATGCCCGAAATCTCACAAATCAAAATTAAGCGCCTAGAACCTTTGTAAATTGATTTATTTGTAAGAACAAAACTTTGTATCTAGACTGTTTTAAATGCTTACACTATTATTTATAATCTACCCCTCCCCCTTGTAAAAGTATAAGTTCAATTACTATAAATACACGCTCTTTTTCCCTTTCTTCTTCAATTCCATTCATTTACTTTCCCCATCAACAAATCTTTTTCATATTCATACTCCCTATACATTAATAAAAACAACTACACTACAGCTACAATGGTCAGCCAATTCCCAACTAACGTTAAAGCAAAATACGTTCCATACGACAACGAACACTCCGAGATCCTGAAAGCTGGTGCTCCAAAACCACTTGATTTGGCCGAGGAATTCAAAGCTGGGCCAGTCATCATCACTGCTATTCCAGGTGCCTTCACTCCCACCTGTTCACTTAAACACATTCCTGACTACATCAAAAATGTCGAAGAATTCAAAAAGAAGGGAGTCAAGAGAGTCATTGTTTTGGCAGTAAATGACCCATTTGTGTTGTCGGCTTTCGGAAAAGCTGTCGGTTACAAGGACGAAGAAAACTTTGTCATCTTTGCTACTGACCCAGAAGGTAAGATTTCTAGCCAATTGGGTGATGACTATGTCTTGGACTTGAGCAGTGCTGGTTTGGGAAAGAGATTACAAAGATACGCTGCTATTGTCAAAGATGGTGATGTTTTCTACTTAGCCAATGAAGATGGTGGAGATTTCACTGACATCTCAAGTGCTGAAACTTTACTCAAGAAATTGTAAAATTGGTGGAGCAGCAGCAGAAGTTCATATAGAGAGAGCTATTCAGTATGATTTGAGTAATAAAAACAACAACAACAACAACAACAAATTAGGAATGTTAATGTAAACGTAGAAAGAAAAGCGCTGTACCTCGTGTCTGAGTGGCTTTCAAAGTAGAATCACTGGATATGGTATGGTATGGTATGGTATGGTATTGTGTAGATCTTACGTCATTCTTGTGCTTGTAAACACGACTTTTTTCCTTTTCCGTCGAGAAATTTCCCTTTTGGCGCCAAAAAACTTTTAATTAAGAGACGAAGGGAAGGGTCAGTACATTTATAGCACTTACACAACATTGTCGAAGAGCATTGATTTGGTCTTAGCTCTCTTCTGGAAACAATGAGTGAAAGTAATAACTTAAACCAGTTGACCGTGTCGGAAAGGTTTCACCTTGCAAGAGGAAAATATGAAGATATAAACAACAACAACAATACATCAGATCGACAGGATTCTCTTCAGTACCAGCAACGCCTCCAAGATCTCATCACCGAATTTGAACTCATTTTACAGATTGTCCAGTCTCTTGCATTATTCAGTGATAACGAACGACTACTGGAACTCACCACGTCATACATCCCGTACTTGAACCTATGGTTTTACTTGTCTCAATTATACTCCAAACTCCAATTAAAACAAGGCAAAGTTTCACTAGATTTCAAACCAGAGTATCTTAAATTGGCAAGACTGTATGCTATTGAATTCTTATCCAATTTGCAAAACTATGGAATCTTGGACAAAGACCAAGCGCAAAGATTGAAACTCATCGACAAAGGTGAAGAGATTATCATGTCGCCACAGTTGAAGAGACAAGAGAAAATCGACAATTACAAGAAAGAACAACAGTTGCATCATCAGTTGGCGGTATTAACCGATTTGAAACATGATTTGAATGAGCGGTTTGAAGATGAGACGTTGAAAGCGATATACATCGATCAATTGAAATTCCACATTTTGAAAGCATTTGACTCAATAGGGTTGATCGCGATGGAAATGGAAGTACTCGCAAACAAACCCCAACCCGGCTCAGATGCATCACAGATCAGGTCAGCTGGTATTGATGATAGAGTATCCAATGCAACAAGTACTGATTCAACTGGGTTTACAACTAGGGTTGAACAACGACCAGATAAGAAACAGATTTCGGACCTTATTTCCAAACAAGGCAAGATTCTCCAGCCATTCACAATCACGTCCAAATCCCAATTACGCAATCGTGTTTTTGGCACGGGACAAGTGTTGCCATCAATGACAGTGGAGGAGTATTTGGATTATGAGTTGGCCAATGGGAAGATGATGAAGGAGGAAGTGAAGGATACAAGTAAAGGCTCCGATTATGAAAGTGATGAAGATGACGAGGCCCAGTTGGAGAAGAGAAGGTGGGATGATTGGAAGGATGAAAATCCAAAAGGTGCCGGAAATATGAAGGCAAATATTGGATAATGGAAGACAGGTTGTGCAGATGTTTAGTATTATCCGAGACTGTACAAATTTTTTTGTATACAGATTGCATACTTATATACACATGATAAACTTCATTTTACTCAATTGTAGATAAGTCCGTTTCCAAATTCTTCATCCATTCCAAATACTCAATTTGGATTCGGTTCGCAGTCACAATCAGCCAAGATGACGATGAAGCAGCTGCTAAATCCACAGCATCATTGAAAAACCATTGATCATCAGCATCTTGCAACGACTTCAAATTGTTCAAAATGAGCAAATACATTTGTAACACTTGAAATTTACTGGCCTTGTCAATAGTTTTGGTTTCATTCTTGTATCGTTGGATATAATGGTACAATGCTTCGCATGAGCCCCGTTGATCGGCCAACTCTGTATCCAACGCGCAACATCCAAACAATCTCCATGCGGAGAGCACTTGGTACATCTTTAATGAAGACAACAATGGCGCCGAGTGAGCTACTTGTGCCAAAATCGAATCAATTAATTTGTAATGGGTTCGATATACCTTGTTTTCATTTGGTGGGAAAATCAACTTGAGATTTTGCTCCAATATCAACTTTTCAATGAATTTCGTAAGCAACAGTTTGATTTCCTCGTGGGAGATTAACTGCGTCAATGCTCGCTCTACTGAATCATAATCGGATATTGACAATGCTAGATCAAACACAGTCAAATATAAAGATTCAACTTTAGATGGCTCATCTGTAGTATTTTCAATGGCAAGTTGTTCAAATTTGAGCGCCACTTTAGTCAATTGTATTCTTGTCACATCGGTGGTTTTGCCCGCTCTCACTTGCGACATCGCCAATTCCGATAATCCATGATAATATCCACTAGTCGTTGGGAAAGTATAAAAACAACTCAAGAAATGACGTAAATTTTCATCCTGTTTCAACAACTTCAATTTGGACACATCCAAGTGCTGTAATTTTTCAAATTGAGCAAAAACGTCATAGAAAGACGTGGCATCGTTATTGATCAAATGAACGATACCAATAAGAAACAACTCATCCACTTCATTCTGATCTAATTCACGCAAAAAGTATTTCTTCAAATATGGGCCCTGTTGATGGTTGACCAACTCAATAACCGAATTTAAAAGGAAATCTCTCTGGGTAAATGTTTGATTCCACAAGTACTCAAAAGCATCATTGATTTGTAAAGTCTCAACGTATTGTTTCAACTGCGCATCCTTGCCAATCACGGCCAGCCAAAATAAGGAATGATCAAGATTGCTCAACCCGTGAGACTCAAGTGGAGACTTTTCACCACCCGACTCGAAGCAAGTGTCAAATATAATCTCAATGAGGTGGTATTGTTGTAATTCGTGCACTACTTGATCAATCAAATGCAAAATCAGACCATTAACTTTACAAATCAAAAGCAATACCAACACATCCATCAATAATTTGTTCTGCTGCTGCATTATATCTTTGAAAGTGATGAGCGTTGATATTTTAAAGAATTCACCCAAGTCACCGCGAAGTGGGTTATGAATGCTGACCAACTGATACCTGGTATTCTCAATCAAAGATTGAAGGACGTCCGGCCCATTGTGTACTTTTTCCAATTCAGACAATGCCGATTGAATCTCTTGTGGTGATAGTTTCTTACTAAGGTGAGTTTGGAAAAACTGGTCAACTAAATTGGCATTAAATCTACCTCGATGCGATAACACTGTCTCGCTTAATTTGTGGTATGTTTTCGCCGACAACGTTGTGCGGAACCTGTTGAACACTTGCATCAATGTGGGCTCAGGAGCATGTAGGCTTTCACTTGCAAATAATTCAAAGTAATGAGATGGCCGGAATAGTCCATATCCGTTAGCTTGTGTAGTTATCAATTGGCTCTCAAACGTGACTAGACCCAACGCTTCTTGACTTGTCTTTTCCAATTCTTCACAAAGTGAATAAAGCTTGAGCCAGATTTGCTTATCCGACTCGTCGTTGCTCGAGTGGAACTCTATCAACCTCAATGCAGCCGTGCGCAAATCGGTACCCAGGTCATCATCGTCATCATCATCATCATCATTCTCTTGTCGTTGTGATTTGAAATGTTGACGCAAGATTGATAATGAAGTTGCAACAATCAAGTTATCAAATCTTCCAGAATCAAAGATTTTTCTGCAATAGTAGTCAGAATCAAAGTGAATAGAAATTGTTTCTTCGTCATTATGGGCTGGCGGCAGTGACAATTGAATTGATAAGGTGGCACCGCCGGTAGTCTCAGTAGTATAGGCGACTAGAATTGATGAAGTATTCGATTTCCACAAGATGTAAGTGACCAAATTCCCCTTGACGTAATCAGTTGCAAAATCTTGAATAAACCATATCGTATTCTGGAAAGCTGACTCGTGGTAAAATATATCTGACGACGATAAAAGAATATTTGGCAATTCCGGTTCAAGGTGAAATCTTGTAACCTCCACCAACGACAGCTCTTGAATCTGCCACGATCTAAACGCAAATTTACCCTTTTTCGAACCTCCAATTGTCGGATTGAGTAATGTGATATATTGCTCGTCACCAGCGTCAACAATTTGAAGATACTTTGAAGGAACCGTAGTCAACCATACATCCTCATCCAGATCGACGGTCAAGGAAACAGACGAAACGTATTGACGTTTTGACAAACTCCACAATTTCAATTGTCTACTCGTAGTCAAGGTGATCAAATAATCATCCACTTTGATCAAGTCAACAATCGAGTTTGATGAGATTCCATTTGAATACACATTCTTCTTTTTACCACTAAAGATTCCACCAAGAAACGAAACTGGTTCGGCAAAAGTCAGGATTTCAATTGAGTCCAAGGGATGTTGTTTTTGAAAATGAAGCAATCCACCATCCTTTAAAGAAACTAGCACATTCTTCTCATCAAATGACTTCACCAAATATGGATCCGATCTCATTTCAAACGAATATGGAACAGATATATGCCCCCATTCTTCAAAATCAAACAAGGATAACGTCTTGCTGGAAACAAATGTCTCTGTAGGTATCTTCAAAGATATGAACAAGTAGCTAGAGTCAATGAGGTTAATGTAGATGTTTTCACTATCATGAGTTATGTCAAAGCAGCTGGTCGATGAAAGCTTGTTTGGTAAATGGATCCTGATGTTTTGTAGTTTTAAACCCAACTTGTTCAATTTGCGTTCAATTGGCGTGAGTGTAATAGTTTTAAAGTCATTCAATATCGTGGATGAAACAAGTGGGACAAGAGAATTTGATCCTAGTTTGAGTAATTGGCCACATGCAGCAAGTTTGAGATGAAATTGGTCATTAGGAGGCGATGATGATGATGTTGATGTTGTTGTTGTTGCTGTTGTTGATGGTGTTTGAGGATATTTCAATGGTAACTTCACATCAAATGTAGGTAGATGATCTGGGTACCCCACAATATCAGATGATGAATAGGTCACGCTCATGACAAACACAAACAGCTGAAGATTTGACAATGAAGTAAACTGAGTTGTGCTGAATTGATTTGAGTTTAGCTAAATTGATTGTTTTTGTTGATGAAGCAAAGACGAAGAAAAAAAAAAAAAAAAGAAAAATTCATTGTATTCAGCCAGAGGTTTGTCTATTATAGCACAGTAACACAACACTTGCATACACAGTCCAGTGCTACTACTGCTACAACCAAAAGCCTCCTCCTCATGTCGTCAGTCATTTACTACAAGTTCCTACATCAGAAAAACAAGAGTGTAATACACTTTGATGGTACTGCAATCAGTGTATTTGACTTGAAACGAGATATCATTAGTCAAAACAATTTGGGAACAGGCAAGGATTTCAATTTACGCTTATACCATGCAGAACAGCCAGATTTGGAATATGAGTTGGATAACGATGTCATTCCCAGGTCAAGCTATGTACTTGCAAGAAGATCACCAGTATCTTCGAAAACGGGTAGGTTCAATAATGCATCGCGGTATGTAAGTGGGAAGCCACGACTTAATCGAAAAGTCATCAATTCCACCAATGCCAACGCGTCAATGACAACCACTACTACTACTGCGGGTAACAATGCTATGCCTACCGCTTTATCCCAACTAGGCGAAGATGCATCTGAAGAGGACAGAATCAAGTTGATGTTTGAAAATCAGTCGAATGTGTGGGCGCAAACACAAGATGAATTGGCACAACACAAGATGGTTTATTATAAGCCAACAGCAGCGACTTCAACAGGTACTAATAAAGAAGATTTGCCACCGCCAGGTTACATTTGCTATCGATGTGGTAAAAAGGACCATTGGATTAAAAACTGTCCTACAAACAATGACCCCAATTTCGAAGGCAAAAAAATCATGAGAACTACAGGTATACCGAAATCTTATTTGAAAACAATATCGAAAGAAGAAGTTGAGAAAAACTCGGGGTCATTCACTACTAATGAGAATGGTGACGTCGTCGATACTGATGGAAATGCAATCTTGATTACTGATGAAGGTGAGTATGCCATTGCCATGGCTGATTCAAAGACGTGGATGAATTATCAAACAAAGTTGCAAAATGCAGCAATGAAGTCTAAGCAGGAGTATGAATCTCGATTACTAGGCCTTGTTGAAAAATATCAAAAACCACAATTTCTTGATGCATTATCCTCAAGTAAAAAAGTCTTGAAGCCTCCTATATATACAACTCCATGTTGTCCTGATTTGACCAAGTTGCGAAAACTAACCAATGTGTACCATAATCAAGAAGAGATTGAGAATGTTTTGATTGAAAATGATTTCCATTGTCCAAATTGTGGTAAAGAGGATGTGTATATTGATTCGTTGGTGCATGCTGAAGCACTAGAAAAGGAGTTGCAAGAGTTTATCGACTCAAAGGAAGGTGAAATAGGAATGAAGGATCCAAGCAAACGGTCGTTAGAGGAAGTAGCCAATGATGAAGATAATGGCATAAAGAAGCAAAAACTTTGATTGCTGTGAGACTATAGGAGTATTGAATAGGTGTGTTTATGTGTGTGTTACGATACGATACGATACGATGTTTGCTTCTACATTGAACAGATATTACGTAGAGACGTTAAATGATTGTAAATGGTGTATATGTATATATATGTACATGTATCCACATGTATCTACATGGCTTTCATGGTATCTCACAAATAGTGACAATTGTACACGACCTTTGTTTGTTTCTTCTTCTTCTTCTTTCTCTCTTTCTTCACAGTGAAAAATTTTCTTTTCATCTTTCCACTTCTTCTTCTTCTTCTTCTTCTTTAGACATAGTTGTTGAGTATTTGTACATATATATATTCTAATATATATATATATCATCTCAATTATCCCACCATCTTTATCAATCAACATGTATGTTTATATCACGTCACCTCAATCGTCAATGCTCATTTGCCTCAACCCTTTTTTGCTTTGTCCAGTTTTTTTTCATTGATATTTTTGAAATTAATAGGATGACCAAAAATAATTACAAAAATTCAAACTAGAGTATGTGACTAGCAGTGTTTGGAATGATCACAACGTTATTCAAGTTTACTGATAATTTCAGAAGAAAAAAAAAATCATTGAAGGAGAAGCAAAGAGTTTACGAAGGCAATTCGAGTCAACGAGGGAGGACGCAATTGGAAGGATTACCAGTTTTACTAACTATTTGTTACTAAAGTCAATTGTCAGATGTGTATGTTATTAGAAGCCGCTTTACAATGGACATTTTCTCTCAACACCCCCATTCCTCCTCCTCCTCCTCCAAATGCCATGAGTGAGTAGTTGGACATTCTGTTCTTTGAAGCTATTTTTTTTGACTACAATGATGATTTAACGAAAACAAAAGCTGGAATTACTGGCTGATTTAATCTTATGATTGATAAAGTTTTTGCACCTTTACGCTAACTGACTTTAAGAGAAAAAAAAAAGTGCTCAAAGATGGAAGAGATCCTGCTTAACTCACTTGTACTGTTCAAGATGGGGTGGAGAAAGAAAGAGCGAAAGAGAGAGAGTGTGTGTGCGTGTGTGTGCGTGTGTGTGCGTGCGTGCATTTACCCATTTTCAAGAGCTTCGTTGATACTAACTGTTGTTTCATAGGTTGATGGAAAGACGAGTATGTGAATGGACTACATCAATGCTGCTTTGATTTACTGTTTCTTTGCTCCTTCTCGAAATGAGGAATTATTGCACTGGGCACTGATCTATGTATGAGTGACAACGCATTTTATGGTGGGCCTCAGAAACCCATCGTTACTGATTATTTTAGTCGACAATTTGAAGGAAAGAAAACTTAAAGGAGTGTGATCCAATTGATGTGTGATCTTGTTCTACAATGTTGGGGTTGTTTTTACTAACATTTTACTTTTGGTGTAGGTGGCAGCATTACATTATCAGCTATGATTCTCATGACTGTGCATTGGAGTTGAATGGGTATGTACTAGAAAAGGTGTCCTTTGGCCCCTTGTTGCAAATTATTTGCAATTGCCAATACTTTTATTCTACTTTTGAAGTGATGATTTTTATCTAGATGACGAGTCAGAATCTCGGGTTTCCCGTTGATGACAAAACTATTTTTTTTCAATAACCATTCATGCATTTCTGATTTCAAAGTGAGAGATGAAACTCATATCATGAGAATTAAGATTAACTAACTTTTATATTCTAGGATCCTTCATCTTACTGTTGCTGCTTTGTTTACCAAACACTTGAATTGGACAAAACTTACTCAAACATTGACATGGCATTTTAGCTAAACTTTATTATAATCATTGTGCAACAAACTGGCAAAAGAAGGATGGTTCACTAGGAGTTGCTGTATGAGTTTTTTTTTTTTTTTTTTTTTTTTTTTTCTCGTGAAGAAGGGAGGAGACGGAATGGGAGGGAGCAGCCATTTTCTAAAAAGGATGAATAAAATTACAAAAGACAAAGTAGACAAGCATATGTCTGACTAAATCTTGAAGAAAGTCTTTTTTAAAAAGTCTGATTTTAAATGGGCAATCCCTCCCCCTCAAGGAACCAATACAGCACTCCAAGCTTTTCTTTCATTACTTCGATATCCAGATCTTGAATGATTATAGAAGTTTTTTTTCTTTCTTTTTTATTTTCGAAAGATTCAAGCTAAGAAGCCAGAGTGAACTTAGTGTTTGAAGTAAAGTTCCATTTACAAGTGGGAGGAAGAGTGGACGAGAAGTGAATATAATTCACCTTGTTTTTATTTTTTTTTCTTTTTTTTTTGGCTCATTTTGTTTTCTGTCGTTAATGATGATCATACCACATTTTTTATCACGACGGTCTTCTGTTGTTATTTAAGGACTGTTAATCCTTGAATATTGATGACATATTCGGCCTTGACCGGCCGTGGTTCCTGAATATCGACATGAAAATGAATTGTGCCAAGAAAGGATAATGGGAGAAGTTTGCGTGGATTTTGTATTTGTAAATGTACTAACTTTGTTTGTATAGGTTGTAACTTGCAATGTATATCTTTTGTTGTTTGTATGATTAAGAGTTCTGTAGAGTTGATTTTAATTAGACCTTTTTCTTGTTAGTGGTCTTGGAAGAGTGCAATGATATAGAGATTTTGGTTTACTTATTTAATGAGGTGTTTTTTAGTGGAAGAGATTTGCTGCGAAAAGTTGAAATAAAAAAAAAAGAAAATTTTTTTTTTTTTTCACTTTTCATTTCAATCAAACAACTTTCTTTCTTTCTTTCTTTCTTTCTCCATTCAAGGTTCTAACTTCCATTTTATATCTACAAAGGTATGTTATACATCTACACAGTTAATCAATCAATCCACCTCCCATTCCTTTCTTCCCAATCTACAAAGCAAANAAAAAAAATCACGTATGATGTCTTAATTTCTTACATATCATGAGTAGGGAAACACGTTTCCCTTCAATGATATACAAAAACAAAACGATTTGCATGTCAGTCTGATTGATTTTTTTTTTTTTTTTGTATTCTTTACTTCTTTCGCTTACTTTTGTTGTCATCTGATTCTATTTGGTATAAGACTCGGGATAAGGATGGGATTGGAATGTTATTTAGTTATGATTTGAATATTGGATTACTAACTGCTTTAGATGAAACTTTTCTCAATATTGTTTGAATAGTAGTACCTGTTGTGGCTGTGGTACATTAACACTGGCATTTCTCTTGAGAGCCGTATACACGGCTGAAATACATTGGAGGACCATATGAGCTCAAGACGAGTAGCTTCTTTCCCCCTCTTTCTTTCTACTCTACAAATCGGAAACCCTTGCCATCGCAAAGTGTAACCACTGTCAATTTAAATACTAAAACACACTGATAAACTTACTTAAAATCAAATACAAAAACTAAAGAAACAAACTCTACAGCAAGAACCGCAGCTACACCTCTTGAGTATGTAGCAAGGACTGCAATCAAACACAAAGTAGAAATGAAACTCAAAATAAAACAAACCACTACTTGAAACCTAAAGGAAGTTGAAAAGGGACAGTGAAACAAAGTGGAAACGCATGGCACAAGGATGCATCAAACTAAAGCTTTGAATTTCAGAACCCTATCACCCCCACTCTTCTCCAACTCCACTCTTCTTTCCCCCCACAACGCCATTAAAACTCTTCATTAAACTTCAACTCACCATACCTAGCTTGAAACTGGGCAACTTCAGGTTCACCACCAGCACCACTTTCAAACTTTCTCTTCAACGGATTCTCTTCAAACAACAGCAGCGACAGTTCATTAATAGTCTGAATAGGTGCGTTTTCAATCTTATAATACGAGTCCCACTCCTCCAAATTCGACACCGTCCTAGTCGACTCAGAAGAAGATAAACTTGGTGGTTGATTTTGTAAATTGACAGGTAACGGGACGCGTTGATAGTTGCCTGAGAAATTGGTGGCCTGGCCCTGGTTGTATCCTTCACTTACTGCTTTCCTGATCCTCATTGCTACTGATGGAAGTGGAGAGTCGGCGCCGTATGGTTTAGTAGGGTTGATGCTACCATTATTGAGACTGGATGTACTTGGTAACGTTGGTCTTTTGAACGTGCTCATTATATTTGGTTGTGGATTTGGTTGTGGATTTGGTTGTGGATTTGGTCTATTGTGTGAGGACGTGTGTTGTAACTGTATGAGTTATATGTGACAGATTGATTGATGGATGGATGGATTGTGTATGACGTAGTTGATCTGTACTCACCAGTTGATGACGAGGATGAGTGATATTCTCTCGCGTTTTCTCCCTTTCTGCAGATTTTCTCTTCTGTGATTTGTTGCTTGTTCTCTTTGCTTCCATTTCCTAATTTGGGACAAATTAATCAGAGAGGTAGTGTACGTTTGCCAATACTCTATTAGTTACCCAATTGAGACTACAGACTATTTCGCTTGTTGACCACTTTTCCTTCTCAATAACTGTTTCTCGTTATCAGTTACTTTTTAAAGACTAAGATTTACTCCGATACTTTGAAAAATTTATATCAACAACATTTGTTGGCATCATCAAAACATTTCAAATTCGCCTTTGACAAATTCTTTAAACTGAAACTATAAATACCAATACGGAATCTCTTTCCCCCCTCTGCCCCTGCCCCCTCCCAGATCGCATTGGTTTTTTATTTTTCCTTTTATTTTTTATTACTCCAAGCTTAACAGACAAAGCAAGCAACTAATAACTATGTCTTCCACCCCAGATTTCAATGTTTCCTCAAAACAAGCTCAAGATTACGAATCTCAATATTCAGCTCACAACTATCACCCATTACCAGTAGTGTTCTACAAAGCATCTGGCGCTCACGTTTGGGATCCTGAAGGAAAAGAATACTTGGACTTCCTTTCAGCTTACTCTGCCGTCAACCAGGGCCATTGCCACCCCAAAATCGTTGAAGCATTGGTTGATCAAGCATCGAAATTGACCTTGTGCTCAAGAGCATTTTCATCAGATGTGTTTGGTGTATATGCCAAGTACATTACTGAATACTTCAACTACGAGATGGTTTTACCCATGAATACTGGTGCTGAAGCGGTTGAGACTGGGTTAAAATTGGCTAGGAGATGGGGGTACGTGAAGAAGGGAATTCCTGAAAATGAAGCCATTATATTATCAGCCACAAATAATTTCCATGGTAGAACATTGGGGGTCATTTCAATGTCTACTGATCCTGACGCTACAACCAATTTCGGTCCTAGTTTGCCCAATGTCGGACCACAAATCCCTGGTGAACCAAAGGGTACATTGTTGAGATTTGGAGTCATTGAAGATGTTGAAAAGGCCTTTGCTAATGCTGGTGACAAGATTGCTGCTATTTTGTTGGAACCTATCCAAGGTGAGGCTGGTATTGTTGTGCCACCAGCTGATTATTTGCCCCGTGTGCAAGAATTGTGTAAAAAGCACAATGTCTTGTTGATTTGTGACGAAATTCAAACTGGTGTCGCCAGAACCGGTAAGATGTTGTGCTACGAACATTCACAAGGTGTCAAGCCTGATATCATTCTCTTGGGAAAAGCCATTTCTGGTGGTGTTTTACCAGTATCGGCAGTCTTATCATCGAAGGACATTATGTTGACTTTGGAACCGGGTTCCCATGGATCTACCTATGGTGGTAACCCATTGGCATGCAGAGTGGCAATTGCTGCTTTACAAGTTGTCAAGGATGAAAATTTGGTTGAAAGGTCACAAGAGTTGGGTGACTTGTTGAAACTGGAATTGATTAAACTTCAACAAGAAAGCAACGGAATTATAAGCGAGGTTAGAGGTAAAGGATTGTTGTCAGCCATTGTCATTGATGACTCTAAAACTAATGGTAAAACCGCTTGGGATTTGTGTTTGTTGATGAAGGATCATGGTGTATTGGCTAAACCAACTCACGATAACATCATTAGATTAGCTCCACCATTGATTATTAGTGAAGAAGATTTATTGAAAGGAGTTGACTCAATCAGAAAGTCATTACAACAATTGAGTAAATAAATGGAAATATAAAAAGTTTAGGGATATATAGGTTGCACATTACATATTTGATATTCGAAATTGATGACGTGAGATACAATCATTAATCCACACTAAGACTTTAGAGCAAGAAATAGAATAGCAAATTTGAGAACAGCCAGTAAACCACTCTGGTCAGATCGGAAGTGATACAAGAGGTATACAAAACAAACAAGTGGCTAAAGCTTTGCTTTCTTCACCACCCACGTCTTTAATTATAAAGTAGGCTTTTCTCAAGAATTTTAGCCTTGTTCATAATGCAGTTGAAATAAGGAGAAGAAGAAACACGGTGAACTGTGTGAGTGTGAGCTGTATTCTGAAAATTCAGTAAAAAGAATAGTTTATTTTGGGTTTGGATGGCAGTGAACATCAATAGTAGTTGTGGTTGCATGAAAAATGAAATAGTTATGTCAAAATCTTCAAGTTGCAAAAAAAAATAATAAATAAATAAAAAAAAAAAACTGAAAGAATAGCATTTTCAGCCCTTGTGTCATAAATGCTCACCACTTTCCTCATCCTATATTCAGTGTGTGAGTGCTT